AACACACAGACGTGTACACACACAGACACCAACACACATACGTGTACACACACAGACACCAACACACATACGTGTACACACACAGACACCAACACACATACGTGTACACACACGTACACACACACACAGACGTGTACATACACGTACACACACACACAGACAAGTACACAGACGTACACACACAGACAGACGTGTACACACACGTACACACACACAGACACGTACACACACAGACACACACACGTACACAGACACATACAGACACACACAGACACGTACACAGACAGACAGACGTGTACACACACAAACACACACAGATGTGTACACAGACACACACAGACACACACGTACACACACAGACACACACGTACACACACAGACACACACAGACACACACGTACACACACAGACACACACACAGACACACACACAGACACACACGTACACACACAGACACACACACAGACACACACACACACAAACGTGTACACAGACACACACACACAAGAGGTAAACATCGTCCACGTCAACACAGGCGCCACCGCCGCCATGGCTCCGACCCCGTCTCTCCACCCCCACCCCCCGCTCCGTCTCCCCGGGCCCCGGCCCCTCGTGAAGGAGGGTCCCGGCTTCTCACCGAAGACTTGGCCACGTTTCCCCGCTGCGTGATGTTCTTGCTGTGCTTCTCGCTCGCCACCCGCATGCGCTGCTTCGCCACCATCCTTGACTCTTTGCTGAGGCCGGAGCGGTGAGCGGCTGATGCTGATGGTGATGATGGCGGCTGGGCAGATCGTTGGGGGGGGAGGGGGGTAGGAATCGATTCTTCGCGCGGAAGTCGATGTGATGCGATTTGAATCGATTCGATTCGAGATGAGTTTTTAGATTCAAATCTAGAATGGGTTTTAAGATTTTTTTTTAAGTGTGCACTCGGGTAGAAGTGAGTTTCTCGCGGCCTAGTCCATGAGCGGTTCACGTGTGTGTTGTTAGAACGACCGCTTTGTGTGACTTCAATCTAACACGTAGGGTTTACACAGATTTATTTTGGAGGGTGGAAGAAAAATTGGTATCCCAGACCCATATGAAATGTCTACCACTGAGCGCTCAAGGGCTGTTCACGGGAGATGGCCACTAATAGCTCAATGTGGCTCAATTTGATCGGGAAACCTCTCAACTTTAATTAAAAACGCAATTGCATCCCTTATCAGAATCGTAAAGCAGTCGATTCCGTAACGATTCGACGATTCCGACGAATCGACACGAGCGTTGGCGGTCCCAGCTTCGGGGGGGGGGGGTTGGGGCCCCGCCCCCGCCGAGAGGGGGGAGGGGCTGTGGGGGGGGGGAGAGGGGGGAGGGGCCGCCACGCATGCACGGAGGGGGGTGGGGGCACCCGCGAGGAAGTCACGTGATCACCGAGCCCCTCCGGGCACGTTGCCAAGAGGCACGTGGTGAGGGCATTGACCAGAAGCCAAGTCCCCACCCCCCCCTCCACCACCACCCGTGTAGCCTTGCCAGACTGTTGGGGCAAGTGCTGTTAGCGAGCACCTATTGAGGCCTGGCACGGCACACGGGGAGTGAGTGGTTAACACCAATCCCGGCCGCCTTTGTCTCCCCGCCCCGCCTCCCCCAGTGCTGTTTACGCACCTCACCAGGTTTATGCCATTTATTGTGAAAATTCCGTCACAGTTCCTATGATCACTGTTTCATTGCTTTCATGGCTTTATTTTGGTGATTTCAAAAAGAGTATTGGTTTAGCCATGTTTGTTTGTTGTAGTACAGAGTTAGACTGATGGCCTTAATCTAAGTTGTCTTGTGGTTGTTGTTGTTGTTTGACTTGCATCCCACTGGGATTTTTGCACACAGCCTAGGTGTACGGTGTTTTTTCTGCAATATTTTGCTGTCTTTTCTTGGATTTTCTGTTTTCACTTAGTCACATATTCACTTTAAGATGTTTTTTGTTCATGTTTTTGTTTTTTGTTTGCTGCGGTTGCACCCGATTCAAGAGCCGAATGGCTCACAGGGCTATACCTAATAAATTAACTTGAACTTGAACCAGGTACTTATTTGAGGCTGAGTCCACCTTAAGGGAGGTCCGGTTCAAATATTCGCAAATTTTGGTTGCGCCTGTTAGCGGGAATCGAACTCCGTAGCGGAGTGCGCTAACCACTGCCCCACCGCTCCCCCCACCACTATCACACACATACCCAACACAATGGAGAGGTATGTTAAACTTTTGTCGCACCGGAGGCAGCCAGCCGTGCTAATCGTAGGCGTTTGTGTAGCGTTGTTACTTGCTAAACCGCCCTTACTGGACATATGTGAAAAAAAGAGCTAATCGGATTCCTCCTGCAGTCTGAAAAAAAATTCTGATTTAATATATATAGCGCAGCATTCACAAATGTTATGTAAAATAAGACATTTCAATCGTGATTTATTTATAATTAAAAGAAATCCCGCTACGACGGAAAGGTATATTACGATGACGTCATGTCAATTTTTTCCTTTCCATGACGTCACGATGTGTAGCTCATCAAGAGTGCGCTGCGGTGACTTCCCGTTTCGCGCTGCGTGACGCCACTACCGGCTGGTTCTTGTTGATTGACGTCATGTCACGAAGTGACGGGCACAGAACAACAGGGGGTGACGTCACGATAAAGAATACATAATTTTTTAAAAATATATTCTAGATTTGAAGCTTTCGTGACTGCAATGATTCATACTCTTAGGTTTTTTTGTTAAAGTCACGTAGGTTAAAAATAAAAATATAAAATAATAGAAATAATAATAGAAATAAAATAATACATTTTTATTTTTACCTACGTGACTTTACCGAAAAAACCTAAGAGTAAAAATATATATACTTGGTTATTTCGGTAAAGTCACATAGATAGCAAATAAAAATAATAAAATTAAAATAATAATAAAAAACCCACGACGTTTCGATCGCAACACAAAGCGGTCTTCATCAGGCGGAGAGAAAGGGGAATAAGCCTCCAAATGCAACTGCTTCTAAGGGCTTCCAATGTCAGCAACATTCATTCAATAGGGGCGAAGAAGCAACATTTGTGTTGTTAATGTCTACATAGAGCCCTTGTGCTTGATTGACTCTTTCCTAACAGTTTTTAAACGTCGCCTATCGCAGTTATATTTTCGTTTCCGTTTAGAACGCCAGAGTATTACACGTTTTATAAAAATGCATTTATCGTACATGTCAACCCCTTATTAGTGCCCTACCTTATTGCAGACCAATTCAGACCATATTGGTCACCCCGTGCCCTTTTAAATCTCAACGTTCACCCTACAGAATCCCATCACAAGGGAGAAACACAAACAAATAGGTATTTTTATTGCCCATAGCGAAACGGCTGTACGCCGAATGGACCTGAAAACCGTGTGGGTTGACAGCTATGATTTATTTTTCGATTTTAAGCTTTCGTGACTGCAGGGATTCATATTCTTGGTTCTTTCGGTAAAGTCACGTAGATGGGAAATGACAAAATAATAAAAATAGAACAATAAAATTCTCACGACGTTTCCATTGCAACACAAGCAATCATCATCAGGTATGAAAACCACGGCAAGAAAATTAGAAAAAAGTGTCGAAACCTCGTGAGAATTTTATTGGTTTATTTTTATTATTTTATTATTTCCCTTCTAAGTGACTTTACCGAAAGAACCAAGAATATAATACAATAAGGTTCAGTGGGCTTTACCTGGAAACATTTATTTAAAAAATATTTGCGTTTTATTTGTATATATTTGAAAAGTGATTTGATTCCTATGGTGTTTATGTATTGTTTGTTGGTGTCACGTTCTGACCAGCCCTGGACATCTGTAGAAAAAAAGAGCTTTATAGCTCACCGGATTTCTCCTCCAGTGTAAATAATCCTCGAGGGTAGGCAGATTGCAGCCAATCACCTTCTCAGCAGTGCGGATGATACGCTGCAGTCTGCTCTTGTCTTTGGCAGTGGCAGCAGCGTACCAGATGGTGATGGAGGAGGTGAGGATGGACCATCATTGTCTTTGGCAGGTCGAATTTCTTCAACTGCCGTAGGAAGTACATCCTCTGTTGAGCTCTCTTGATAAGGGAGCTGATGTTCAGTTCCCACTTGAGGTCCTGGGAGAGGATAGTGCCCAGGAAGCGGAAGGACTCCACAGTGTTGACTGGGGAGTCGTACAGGGTGATGGGGGTGAGTGGGGCTGTATTCTTCCTGAAGTCCACAGCCATCTCCACTGTCTTAAGAGCATTAAGCTCTAAGTTGTTCTGGCTACACCAGGTCACCAGGTTGTCAGCTTCCCACTTATAGTCAGACTCATCCCCACCAGAGATGAGCCCAATGATGGTGGTGTCGTCCGCGAACTTCAAGAGTTTAATTTTGGGGTGCTGATTTCAAATCTGGCATCAGTTTTTGTCTATCACATCAGGTTTTTGAGATATCAAATATTGCATTTCAATCAAAACTGCAGAGGAAAAATATTAAATAAATGTGGATATCTACATAAAATGATATTATAAACACACTATCCTAAAAATGCAGCACCATATTTTAACACTAAAGCAGTCACTGACTCGCAACAACTTGCAATCATAAGTGACATAGTTAATTTCGGGTAAAATCAATGAAAATCGGGTATGCCGATAGCATAAAAATGAGATGTGTGAGAGCAAATCTGAGATCAGATTTGGAATCAGCACCCTGAAATTAGTCTAAAACAGCTGCAAAAGTCCAGGCCAGAAAAAAAAATGTGTTTGTTGACCAGTGAATTATTATTCTTAGGTTTTTTCGGTAATGTCACGTAGGTAAAAATTTTAAATTAATAAAAGTAAAATAAAAAATAAAATAAAAATCACGACGTTTCGGATGCAACACAAGCTTCCGTCTTCAGGTGGGAACCGTCACAGCACGATTGCTGTATCAAGTGAATTATTGTCACCGACCACGCTTGAGTGACGTCACCACGAGGGGGCGGGGCGGAGGGCAATGACGTCACTCGAGCCGTAGTCACGTGGCGCGCCAAAGCGGTTCGGCAGTGAACGAGCGATGGCGGCGCGGGTGGCCCTGTGGTGTTCGGCGACTGCGGCGCTGCTGGTGGCGGCGATGCTGGTGCCGGGCCCCGGGCTCGGACCGGCCACGGCGAGGGCCGACGGCTCGGTGCGGCAGATGCGCACGCACCTGTTCGCGGGGCCCGTGCTCAAGATCGAGTACTGGTGAGGGCTGCGTGTTGATGTTGTGGCGGTGGTGGTGGTGGTGCGTGCACGAGGCGGTCGTGGGGCGTGAGGCCCGGCCGAGAGGGATGCGGAAGACGGCGGGGGAGAGACCCGGGGAGAGATGGGGAGAGAGATGTGGGGAGACCCGGGGAGAGGTGTGGGGAGAGAGATGTGGAGAGAGAGATGGGGAGATGTGGGGAGAGACCCGGGGAGAGATGGGGAGAGAGGTGGGGAGTGAGATGGAGAGATGTGGGGAGAGACCCGGGGAGAGGTGTGGGGAGTGAGATGTGGGGAGAGAGATGGGGAGATGTGGGTAGAGACCCAGGGAGAGATGGGGAGAGAGGTGGGGAGTGAGATGGAGAGATGTGGGGAGAGGTAGGGGAGAGACCCGGGGAGAGGTGTGGGGAGAGAGATGGGGAGATGTGGGGAGAGAGATGGGGAGATGTGGGGAGAGAGATGGGGAGATGTGGGGAGTGAGATGTGGGGAGAGAGATGGGGAGATGTGGGGAGAGACCCAGGGAGAGACCCGGGGAGAGATGGAGAGAGACACGAGAGAGGGCAGAAACCCGAGGAGAGAAATGGGAAGAGAAATGGGGAGAGGTGTGGGGAGAGAGATGGAGAGATGTGTGGGGAAAGGTAGGAGAGAGACCTGGAGAGAGGTAGGGGAGAGCCCGGGGTGAGACGGGGAGAGAGGTAGGAGAGAGACAAAGGAGAGGTAGGAGAGAGACACGGGGAGAGAGACACGGGAGAGAGACACGGGGAGAGAGACACGGGGAGAGAGACACGGGGAGAGAGACACGGGGTGAGAGACACGGGGTGAGAGACACGGGGAGAGAGACACTGGGAGAGAGACACGGGGAGAGAGACACGGGGAGAGAGACACGGGGAGAGAGACACGGGGTGAGAGACACGGGGTGAGAGACACGGGGAGAGAGACACGGGGTGAGAGACACGGGGAGAGAGACACGGGGAGAGAGACACGGGGAGAGAGACACGGGGAGAGAGACACGGGGAGAGAGACACGGGGTGAGAGACACGGGGTGAGAGACACGGGGAGAGAGACACGGGGAGAGACACGGGAGAGAGACACGGGGAGAGAGACACGGGGAGAGAGACACGGGGAGAGAGACACGGGGAGAGGAGAGAGACACGGGGAGAGAGACACGGGGAGAGAGACACGGGGAGAGAGACACGGGGAGAGAGACACGGGAGAGAGACACGGGGAGAGAGACACGGGGAGAGAGACACGGGGAGAGAGACACGGGGGAGAGAGACACGGGGAGAGAGACACGGGGAGAGAGACACGGGAGAGAGACACGGGTAGAGAGACACGGGGAGAGAGGACACGGGGAGAGAGACACGGGGAGAGAGACACGGGGAGAGAGACACGGGGAGAGAGACACGGGGAGAGAGACACGGGGTGAGAGACACGGGGAGAGAGACACGGGGAGAGAGACACGGGGAGAGAGACACGGGGAGAGAGACACGGGGAGAGAGACACGGGAGAGAGACACGGGGAGAGAGACACGGGGAGAGAGACACGGGGAGAGAGACACGGGGAGAGAGACACGGGGAGAGAGACACGGGGAGAGAGACACGGGGAGAGAGACACGGGGAGAGAGACACGGGGAGAGAGACACGGGGAGAGAGACACGGGGAGAGAGACACGGGGAGAGAGACACGGGGAGAGAGAGGAGAGGCACGGGAGAGCGATAGGGAGAGAGGATAAGAAATATGAAGCGGGGGAGGGGGAGGTAAGAAGAAATTTAAAAAGAGGGGGGGGGGGGTAGACAATGGAGATGTAGGGGAAGAGATAAGGAGCGGGAAAGAGACAAAGAGGGCAGGGGAAATAGCGGAGATGGAGAGAGATACGGGAGCGCAGTGGGAATGGTTTATAGGAGGAGAATGAAGAGGGGAGAGATGCCGAGGGGATGGGCCACAGATCACAGATGGCGATGTAAAGCGAGAAGAAAGGGGCAACAGAGGAGACGGAAGGGGTGGGAGAGAAGGAAGAGAGAGAGAGAGAGAGCAGAAAAACGTGAGAGGGGAATGATTTAAAGGAGAGAGACGAGATAAGGGAGGGAGATGGAAGGGGAGAATTAAAGTTTATAGCAGAAAGGGGAAGGGCAGAGGGAGACACGAGGAGAATGGGGAACAAGGGGAGGGCATTGGCCACGGTTGGGTGACGGGAGGGAGAGGGGGGGTGGCTGGAGAGTTGATGAAGGCAGAGGGGATGACGTTGAGGGGAGGATAGGAGAGAGAGGGAGATGAAGGTGGAGGGGGCAGTCGAGACGAATCGGGGAGAGATTTGAGAGGAAATGAGTCTTGAGAGACGAGAGATCAAAATGTTGATTTTGATTCTCCATGACGAATTTAAGGTGGATTTCCATCGTAATTTCTAACATTTATGCTGATGCCTTGTTTTTTTTTGTCTTGCTGTGCGACTTTATAAACATATAGCGTCTCGTTTAAACCCAGGACGACAACCCTTGCAAATAAAGAGTGCGTCTCTGTTTGTCCTGATAGGGCTTTATAATGTTACCATCACCTGTTGAAATGAAGTTCATACTAAGACTTGAGATCAGAGAACACGCGCAGCTCAGAGGCTTTGGCAGGACACGTCCTTAGAAGCGATGATCGCCGGGTGGCCGGGAATAATGACAGCCGTGAGGTTTCAATGTGCCCTAGGGAACACGTCCACCGAGGAGATGGAGCGATTAAATCAGATCGTTTGCAGGAGCGAGATGGAGTGTTGCACGATAGGATCGTGAAAGTCGGTGGCAACTCGGGGGAAGGCCTTGATCCAGGAGTGAATAACTCATGGCTGGTGATGATGATAATGATAATGCCCTCACTGTTTCCGTGACTTGGCAAAGCGTGGTTCCCCTGGCCTCAGGGTTGGACTTTATCCGGCATGGCGAGGTCTTTGGTCGACAAAGGGGCTGAAGGTCTCAACCTCCGTAAACGGAGCAGGCACATTCCAGCTGCCACACTCGGGGTCAAGGTTGAAATTTGTGGGCAGCCATCACCCTAACGAGCTTTTGACACGAGCGGCGCATTGAAGCTAAACTGTTTTTATTTTACGAAGTAAAGGACCATTAAGCTTCGATTTAAAGCTTTCGTGACTGCAGGGATTCATCTTCTTGGTTCGTTCGGTAAAGTCACGTAGAAGTGAAATAATAAAATCATAGAAATAAAACATAATAAAATAAAATTATTAATATAATACAAATAAAACATAATAAAATTAAATTATCTGATTCTGTTTTATTATTATTTTATTATTTCCCTTCTACGTGACTTTACCGAAAGAACCAAGAAGACCACTAAGCTGTGAAGCTCTTTTTTCAGAAGCGAGCAGGCTACCACAAATGATAGTTCAACGAAGTGCCTAATCATCACGTGGAAATTGATAGCAGTCGCCAAATACTGTGAATGCATGTGGATTCTAAATGTGGAGTGAAAAATCGGAGGACCCGGAGAAACCCCCACGCGACCACGGGAAGAGAGACACGCAAACTCCAAATATACAGCCAGGCGTCAGGGTCGGGTTCGAACCCACGACCTCCTGTATACCAGCCGAGCTAACATCTCCTCGCCACCGTGGCACCATTGGTCAGAGCCAGGGACACATCGTCAACCTCTCCATTTAAAGCTTTCGTGACTGCAGGGATTCATCTTCTTGGTTCTTTTGGTAAAGTCACGTAGAAGGGAAATAATAATAAAATAATAAAAATAAAACATAATAAAATACAATTCTCACGACGTTTCGGCCACAACGCAAGCAGCCGTCCTCAGGTGAAGAACAGAGCTGCCGGAAAGACAGCGTCCGAATGAAGCCAGCGTCCATTCATTCGGACGCTGTCTTTCCGACAGCCCTGTTCTTCACCTGAGGACGGCTGCTTGCGTTGTGGCCGAAACGTCGTGAGAATTGTATTTTATGATGTTTTATTATTTTATAATTTCCCTTCTACGTGACTTTACCGAAAGAACCAAGAAGATCGTCAACCCACGTCATGGAGATGATGACGATGTAGCAACGCGAGTTTTGTTGGGAGCTGTGCTCCCCTGCACACGATCTGCGCTGCCTTGAGGTCTGAGTGTTCAGCAGGCTAAATAATGATTGCCTTGAGTTCTGCTACCGAGCATCATTGATTAACCCTCCAAGCATGTTTAACACACCTGTGGCATCAATCGGGATTGGTTTTGTGGCTCACGAATTGTGATAACGAGTGTTAAATGGGCATGGTGTAATCATGAATGGAAGGTGAAATATTGGGATGCGTTTATGGATAGGGGTTTGGGGTAGTTATAGGGATGGGGTTATGTACAGTGGTTATGGATAGGCGTAGAGATAGGATTAGGTAGGTATAATGTTGAGGTTATGGATAGCGTTAGTTGGGGGTTGTTTTTTGAAATTGGAGTTATGATTTAGGGTTAAGTGCTTATTTATGTAACCCAGGTCGCCCTTGCAATATAATCGGTGTTTAATTTGTCTCCATGGGTTTATGACCTTGTTAAGTAAAGGATAGATACAGAGTTGTGGACAAGATACGCATACGTTTGATGGTTAGCAATGAGGCTAAGGATCTTCATGGGGTGATATTTGGGGTTTCGGTAGTGCTAGGGTAGGGGAAATGGTTAAGGGGTGAAGGTAGGGATGGCAGTGAAGGGGTTAAGGTTGGGCGATCGGCACTCCGGGGCCGCGGTATGTCACACCTCGTGAGCGTCGGCTCGTGGGACACTTCGGTTTTTGGCATTGATGGCGCGGTGTGTGCCCTGGTTGCCCGGCAGCGTCTCCTGAGGGTACCGGCGGGTGTTCGAGGAGTACTCCCGCGTCATCGCCGAGAGATTCCCGGACATCCGCGTGGAGGGCGATAACTACCTCCCACAGCCCCTGTACAGGTAAGAACCGCTCTCACAACGGGCCCAGCCAGTCCCTGCTCTCCCCTCGTCCTCCGTCTGTTGACTCTCCTGCCTCCCTTACCTCTCGTACTATTATCTTTCCTCTCTCCTGCCTCTCTCCTGCCTCTCTCTTGTATCTCGCTTTCATTTCACTCTTCACTCTTGCTTCTTCCCTGCCTCTTCCCTTCCTTTTCCCCCGCCTCTCCTCCACTCCCCCCATCTTCCCTAGAGAGGGAGGTTGTGATGGTAGCGTTTGGACCTAGTCTGCTTTGGGGACCATTAAACGGCGAGCAAATTGGCCATTAGGCAGCGGGTATGTCTTCATTATGTGCATGATGGCTGTGCCACTGTAGCAGGGCTAGTTCGGCCGGTGTACACGCACAGTCCCTTCGTCAGTGCACTGCTTGATGGGCGCCTCAACACACGTTGTGCGTCACAGGGGGCTTATTTGACCATACTTCACCACGCCGGTCACCGCTCGGTGAGGCGACAGGAGCGCAATGGACGATATAACTTCCGAGAACTGATGAGATTGAGTGCATTCTGGGTGGTTTGGCCAGAGGGCTGCACCAGTGTTCAGGGTCTGGGGCAGGGCTCACTTGGCTAATCCCTCCTGCCAACTCATTTCATTTGGCCCAAGGCAAACGGCGTTCCCCAAATATTTCATTAAAATCAGCTCGTTGCGAGGAGGTGGCAGGGTGGTGGTGCAGAGGTCGGAGATGCTGAGCCGGCACCGCTGAGGCTCTGGGTTCGAATCCGTGTTTCAGCCACCACCTGTGGTTAAACTACCAGGCTCTGAAGCACTTGCAAAGAATAAAATCCTTTACCTCTTCTGGCAATAATACCGCTGAGGCCCCGGGTTCAAATCTGGGTTTCAACCGCCACCTGCGGTTAAACCACCGGGTTCTCAAGCGGTAGCAAAGAATAAAATCCTTTACCTCTTCTGACAATACTACAGGTGGTTATGATGTCCAAACACCAAATTAGATACCTCTTACTAGGCATCAAGTCTGTATTAACCACACACGCTTGTGGAAATATATACACACAAATATGCTTCGATAATATAGACATTGTCCTTGAAGATGATTAGCCTACACCAGTGAGACAGCCGGTTCTGTCTCACTGCTGCTATAGACCAAAGGATACCAAAAATGCGAGCAGTACAAGAACGATGCAAATGCCAAAGCATTAGAAATTGGTGCCTGCATGGTGTTTGAACATCTTAACACCTGCATTATTGGTTATTTCGGTAAAGTCGCGTAGAAGGGAAATAATAAAATAACAAAAATAAAAAATACAATTCTCACGACGTTTCGATTGCAACACAAGCAATGATCATCAGGTGTGAAAACCACAGGAAGAAAATTGGAAAAAAGTGGTGGTTTTTTATTAATGTCAGCACCACCACTTTTTTCAATTTTTTTTTATGTGGCTTTCACACCTGATGATGATTTTTTGTGTTGCCATCGAAACGTCGTGAGAATTGTATTGTTTTATTTTCTTTATTTCATTATTTCCCTTCTACGTGACTTTACCGAAAGAACCAAGAATATGAATCCCTGCAGTCACGAAATCTTTAAATCGAAATCTTAACACCTGTATTATTGCCAGAAACGGAAAATCCTTCAAATGTTTTCATCATCTTGATACTGCCAGAGAGGGTCCCACAGATAAGTAGTGGCAGGTTGATGGTCTCAGCTCGGTGTACTAATCACGTGAGAAAATACAATATCTTCTTGGTTCTTTCGATAAAGTCACGTAGAAGGGAAGTAATAAAATAATAAAAATAAAACATAATAAAATAATTCTCACGACGTTTCGGCCACAACGCAAGCACCTGAGGACGGCTGCTTGCGTTGTGGCCGAAACGTCGTGAGAATTATTTTATTATGTTTTATTTTTATTATTTTATTACTTCCCTTCTACTTGACTTTACCGATTGAACCAATACGATGAATCCCTGCAGTCACGAAAACTTTAAATCGAAAAATACAATATATATAATTTGGCCAAATTCCGGCTCTGGGAATTCGAGGTATCATTTTTGACTGTTGTGCGATGAATGTTACGATGGCAGTGCTGGTGGACAAGTGCTGCCCCTTTGCTGTGAGCAGCAGGGGACACTTGTAGCAGGGGAACTCTGTGATATCCGCCCGCGTGCGCCGCTCTCTAAACACGACGAGTTGCACTGCCGCGCGAGGGTTCGGAGTGGATTCTCTGTCTCGCGACGCGGTGCCGATGGCGCAATTGGGATAAAGTTGAAGAATAACACCCAACAAAAAAGTTTCTTGAGTAAATTTAATTGCGACCCTGAAATCGTGCTGAACTTCTTCCGCACCGTACGTAGCCAACCTCGCTAATCGGACAACGAATAAAATCTCTCGGCAGAGTGAGTGAATATTTCCGTGCCTGCTTCCGCTGACCCGCGTGCGTGCTTCCCTCCCGTGTTGTCGTGGTCTCCCTTGTCCCGCCAAACGACCCCGCGCGCTCCTCAGGTACATCGCCTCTTTCTTCTCCGTCTTCAAGCTGGTGCTCATCGGCCTCGTGCTGAGTGGGAAGAACCTCTTCCCCATGCTCGGAGTGGACACCCCCGGCGTGTGGACGTGGAGTCAGGAGAACAAGGTGCCGAGCGGAGCGCCGGGCTACAATAAACAGCGGGACTGCGACGGAATCGCCGAATGTTGCCGATACGAGCCAATAAAATAGAGGGGGCTTCTGCCGCACGGCTGCTCGATCTGAGTATTGCTTGCCGATGAATCGATTGCCCAAGCGAATAGACGTTTTCAAGATGGCTGCCCGATCAACTTTGAGCGGCTGCCGGATCGACTGAGCCGAATCGAAACGATTAACTTAGATTCACGATCCACAAGAGTATATATATGGGCAAAAACACGATCCCTTCGGCCCACACCACGCCTTCTTCCATATAATGAGAAAGTCTCTGATCGGTGATTTCGTCGCGTGTCCGATTTCATCGTATTACCGCGTCACCGCTAGCGTCCCAGTGTTTCTCTCTCCTTAGCTGTGTCCGGCGTTTCTCTTCTGAATGCACATCTCTTGTCTTCTATTCCTCTTTTGAACACGTCCTGTCTCCGTTTTATGTCGCCTGTCTGAATACGCGTGCCTTGCATATTTCCTTTAGAATGCATCTCTTGTTTCGCATATCTCTTTTACTGAATAAATAATCCGTCTCTGTTTTATATATATATCGCCTGTTTAAATACACCTACTGTCTGGCCTGTGTCTCCCTTCTTAATACATCTGCCTGTCCCCGGACATCCCTTGTGAGCCCAAGGGATGTGGGTATGAGTGGAGGGGCTTCACTTTGGATTTTCCTTCGCCCCCCCCGCTCCACTTCCCTCTGCGTTCCCCTTCGGACGACCAATGCGTGCCCCCCTCCTGCGTGCCATCCTCCTGCGTGCCCCCCTCCTGCGTGCCCCCCTCCTGCGTGCCCCCCTCCTGCGTGCCCCCCTCCTGCGTGCCCCCCTCCTGCGTGCCCCCCTCCTGCGTGCTCCCCTCCTGTGTGCCGTGCGCAGCTCTACGCCTGCCTCATGATCTTCTTTGTGAGCAACATGGTGGAGACGCAGTGCATGTCCACAGGCGCCTTCGAGGTCTCCCTCAACGGTGAGCGCCGTACGGATGGGGTCGCACGCACCACCGCGTTGCGTCCCGTCGCACGCGTCGTAACGTGGCGCGGTGTGTTGACGTGTGCAATTAACCGGTGTGTGGCCTGGCGTTGGTGCGCACTCACGCGCGCGTGTACGCATGGTTCGCTGGTATGGTGTGGCGTTGGTACGTGTGAGAATCTGATGTGTTGTGTGACGGTGTGGTGGGTTAATGTGTTGTTCTGGCTCTGTGTGTGTGTTGTTGCATTCTTTGGTTTTATCACAAAGTGCTTATGTTCAATCAAATAGAGACCCTCCCACCCACGTGCAATGGCTGAGCTGTGTGTGTGTGTGCTTGCCTGAGTTCGGGGAGCGCAGGCGCAGTGCTTGGTGCACTGCGCGATGCACCTGGTACCACGAGTTCGATTTCCGCTCGCGACCAACGTCGATGACGAATATCTGAACTGATCCTGGGACTCCGCGAGGTCGACTCGGCCTTAAACGAGCACCCGGTGGCGTGCGTAAATATCAGCGCCGGGGAGACGAAGGCGGCGAGGTGTCGTGGTGGCGGCGGCCCGCGCTTCCGTCCCGTGCGCCTTTTCCGTCCTTAATAGGCGGCCCGCGAACGGCACTTTGCAAGGCGGTTCGTGATCTCTTGTCTGCCTGCCTGCGTGTCCCACAGACGTGCCCGTGTGGTCTAAGCTGCAGTCGGGCCGAGTGCCGAGCCCCCAGGAGATCCTTCAGATCCTGGACAACCATGTGAAGCTGAGCGTCGGCTCCGCGGGCCGCATGCAGCCCTCGTAGCGACTCGCGCGGCGACAGCAGTGGCGGCAGCAGCAGCGGCGTCCGTGAGTGGCGCCGTCGTCCGTCGTGAAGCGAGCGCGGGATGATCAGGGTGGAGCGCGCAGTGGTTCGACTCCCGACCTGGGCGTCTTTCTGCGTGGAGTCTGAATGGGTTCCACGATTGTGAGATGTTAACTGCCTCGCCTGGTCTACAGGAGGCCGTGGGTTCTATCCCGACCCGGACGCCTGTATGTTTGGAGTTAGCATGTTCTCCCCGTGGTCACGTGGGTTTTTCTATCCGCATTTAGAATCAAAACACGATTAGAGCATTTGGCTTTTATACATTTCCACGCGATGAGCCACTTCGTTGAGCTATCATTTGAGGCCAGGTCGCTTCTCAAAAAGAGCTACATAACTCGGTGGGCCCTTACCTGGTGAACAAAAAAATTGTTTTTAGTTTGTTTCTCCCCCAGTTTTGCATGGGTTTCCTCTGGGTTCTCCAGTCGTAGCTAAAACAAACATGCGGTGTTGAGATGACGCATTGCAAAATTGGCCCCTGCCCTCGACTGTTAAAAACTTGGCAGGACCCCCTCCTCCTGAAACAAGAGTATTGAGACTCAGTGATGCTTTCCCGGGTAGACAAGCGTAGTAATGAGAATGAGAATCGGTACATACCGACACGGTTACCATGTCAGCGGTCACGTGTGTTACATGTCACGAGTCGCCGACGCGTCTCGTATGTTGGATGCGTCACGAGCAGCCATGTCACACGTGTCATGACTGGCCATTCGTGTCCAAATGCCCCACTGCGCCCGTTGTTAACTCCGTAATAATAATAATTTGCTTTTGTTTGAGCCGCCCTCCTCTACGCACGGAGCGACTCCGAGCGCTCGACAAGCGACGGGCGACTTTCGTCACGTCCCATCTGAAACGTTTGAAAGGGCACCCCCAGTGGCAGCTGCGGCACAGGGTGACCCCGGGCCTGCTCAATGGGGCATTCGTCTGCCGGTCGGGGGGGGTGAAGATTGCTTTGCGAATTACGATCCCTCTCCCTGTGCCCTCCTCTCTCTCTCCCCCTGCCTACCTCCCTCCCTCACCAGTCAACACAAGACGCGGTCTGCGGACGGACAGAAGGGTTCCGCGTGGGTCAATGACGGGCCGCTCTGAATCCTGGCCTCGCCTGGAGGAGCGGACCCTGACAGAAACGTTCCCACGCGGCTCTCCCCTCCGCCGCAAGGTCGCCGTCTCCGTGCCACGGACGGCTGCTGCTCCCCCCCCCTCACCCCCGATGCCCGGTGGCGATGGCGGGCGGTTCGTTGACGCGAGCTCTGGGCCTCGCGTGTGACGGTGGCAGTGTGGCCGTAGCACGAGGCCGGACGGATGAAGCGCTCCCGGCAAACGTAGCTGCTCTCTTTCGCAGTTCATTACTGCCTTGACTCACTCCCTCCAATTTAAACTCCCCGCCACCCTCCCTCAACCCCCACTGTAGATTACCTCAGAAAATGGCGAAACTCCCGTCCCTACCGTGATTGTTCCGCGTCCGTATGCAGACGTAGGGCGTGCGTGAGGGGGTCGTGGCTCCACTCACCCACCTCTCCCCGTCGCTCCTCGTGAGAGACGGGGGGGGGCGTGGGGGGGTGGTTCACGCCACCACCATCACGCAGCATCCTGAAGGAACGGCTTTGCCTGAGCCGACACGCGCACACATGTGGGCGCTGGTGCCCTTGATTAACCCGGGCACGTGCCCCCCCCTCCCCACCTTTTAATCATGAATTGTGACCTCCTTAATTATTGTGACCCCTTAATTAACTTAATCTTAGCTAGAAGTCCATTATTGCATGGGGGTCGGCTGCTCGGAAGTTATGATTATTATTTAATAACTGCACAGTTCCCTGTTGTTGATAAAGCGACGGGTAAACTAATTGAGGGTTTTCTGTTCTTCATACCGGGATTAGTCTTTGAGCGCTCGAAAAGTGGGACGCGAGTCAGTTAGCGACGACAACTTCCTTGACCTCGCCCTTCCTGCATGACCTCGCGGCCGCGCTCGCTTCGCCCGAACGAGCGTCCGCTACGAACCGGGAAGTGCGGAGAGGGCGGCACCGCCACGCGGCCAGCAACGAGCCGGCAACGCGGCACCGAGAAAACGTCGCCACCACTTTACCTGTCGCTCCCCCCATGAACGTGGGGGGGAGCGGGGGTCGGGAGCGGGGGTCGGGAGCGAGCCTCGTAGGCGACATGGCGGACTTGCTGTACCACCCAGCCCCACCACCCCCCACCACCCTTACCCCCCCCCGCCCTCCGCCATGGAGGACCATCGCGCCCCGATGAAAACAGAATTCCAGCCACCACTGCGGACTAGCGCGTTCAATTGCTAGGGCGTCTCTGAGCCCGCTATACTTGTGATTTATATTTTAATAACCGTCTCGTAATTTGTCGTCATCAGCGTGTAGGGAGGGGGCAGCCCTGGCGATCCGCTCGCGGTTCCTGTTCGGGTCCGTGCGGGCTGGTCGCGATTCACCCACCACCTTAGTCCGCGGGCCATTGAGGTCCGTACAACGCGAGGTAGTTGTGTGTATGGCTACTTAAAGTGCATCATGTAATCAAACGCTTATTAAACAAGGTTATTGTATGCTTCACTTTTATTGGTGATTGAAAATTTAATTTTGGGTTAGGCCACCTCATGATTTTACCAAATTTGTGTCGTTAAGACCCTCCCTAGTCAAAAATTTTAAAAAATCCGGAAGTCATTCTGATTTTAGATTTGAAGCTTTCGTGACTGCAAGGATTCATAATCTTTGTTTTTTTCGGTAAAGTCACATAGGTAAAAAATAAAATAGATGAAAACAACTAAATTAAGTCACGACGTTTTGGGCGCAACACAAGCGTCCTTCATTATTCTGACTTGCTGTATTTTTATTTGGACTGCCTCGGATCTTGTCCTGATGATCTATGCCGTAGTTTCAAATGATATGTCGCACAATCTTATCGCTCAATCTGCTACCGAGAATCTTACTTTATCCCAGCGACGAGCGAGCTGAAAAACGCGCAATCGGCGCATCGTTACAACGCTTGCGCACCGCGGGATGAGTATTTTGGTTGGATCGGGTGGGGTGGAGGGTTGTTGACTAATTATGTCAGATCATTAATACGTGGCCTAAACCAAAAATAAATTATGAATCGTAATATCAGCCGTTTACGAGTTAAAGATCTCGGTAAAACTCAAAATTTCCCGTCCCAGATGGTACCAGCAAGGAAGATATTTGGTGTGGGCCAAGGGATTTGTTCACTGATACAAGCTAATGGTTGCGGTTTGATTGCAAGAATCGATACATTTTCCTCCACTATTTGGTGAATGTCACGACCCGCGCACCCATTGCATACAAACTTCAACAAATTGATTCCTCGTATAAACTCTTCCCACGCCTACGATTCGACACGTGTATCGTGAACGCAGAAGATCGATTTAAACCGGTGAATCGATGCGTCGTTACGTGGCTAACGGTGCGGCGGGCTCCTCTATAACCCCCTTGGCGGATCGCCGGATTCCTGTTGCGTCTCCCTCAATGTGCGTGTGTGTGTGTGTGCAGTCCGTGTTGTATTTATGTAATGTGGGTCTCCCCCTATGTGAGTTGTGCGGTAGTTCCCGCACGTGTGATACTACTAATACTACTACGTAGGTTTACGCGGTTGTGCTGTCTAGCTCTGACGGCGTTTGCACAACGTGACGAAGCTAAATAATCAACACGGGCTCGCTCTCCGGCGTCGAACACCAGCAGCAGCGGCCGGCGATGCTGATTTAATCGAGCGCGATCGTGTAGCCGCCTTCGTTGGGTTCCTGACGGAAGCTACCAACCGACGTGGGGTGAAACTGTTGGAACGCTGCACCGAACGGCACGCGGTACGACCCGATAAAGCGTCGCCGGAGATGTAACGGCCGTGCGATTGTTGCCGGGGCTGGTTGACGGCGCGTGGAGCGAGTGGGACGAGGCGAGCTTTGCCGGCCCCGGTAAGGGGGGGCCCGCGGTGAGCGAGGCTGTTTGTACCACGGGAAGTTAATAAATCGTGCTGCTCCCTAGCGTGACCTCCGTGCGTTGTCGATTCCCTTCCGCGTGAATTCGCTCCGGCACTGCACCAACACTCTTGTATGCTTGTTGAACTTCTTTCGCACCGAACGTAGCCAACCTTGCTAATCGGAGGTTTGTTGACTCCTACCCTTCTCCCCCCCACCGAAGCCCCTAACCCTCGACCCACATCTCTTTATAGCCCCTCTTTCTTGCCAAAATGTTTTTTTAACTTTTCCCCCCAACCCCCTCAACATTTTTTGGGGGCCTTTCACTTTTTTTTCCTTGCCAGTTGTCTCGTGTCCCCTGCTTGACGCCGACCACCTAACCGCAGTGCCCAAGCTCTGCGTGTCCTCTGTATCAAGTTGTTTTTGGCCAACCAATGAGTGTTTACATGTCGGAGGAAGCCGGAGCGCCCGGAGATAACCCACGCGTGCGAGGGTGAGATGCTCCTGTGCGGACGGAACATTTTATCTTTGCTGTACTGCCGTCACGTGGTGAGCCCTACGATGTGGGCAACATCCACGACGCCCTCGTGAAGGGAGTTTTAACAAAAATCTGCGCGATCGATCGACCTTAATAAAGTAGTCATCGGAGTGCACGTCACGGCAGAACGCGAGCGGTACGGGGGCACGGAGCAGCAAGCAAGGAATTACAGACTAGAATCATCCAGAAATGTCTGTCCGTCCTGTGTGTGACGTCACTCGACAGGCCCACCCCCTGCGTGACGTCACTCCACATGAGGCCCACCCCCCCCCCTCATTAAAAAAAAATTATTACGCAGTCGCTTCAAATATGTTTCTTTACAGAAAGTGACGGCAAAAAATTAATCTACGCAGCACAGTGCTACATCCGTGCGTGACGTCACTGCAAAAGAGCCCCCCGCCCCCATTCATTAATATTCATGCCCGCGTGGAAATTTCCACTAACGTACAAGAAGGTCGCCCACTCCACATGCCGCACCCCTCCCCTCATTAATAATCATGAGCGGGTGACGTCACTCCACATGCCGCACCCCTCCCCTCATTAATAATCATGAGCGGGTGACGTCACCACATGCCGCACCCCTCCACAATAACCATGAGGGATGACGTCACTCCACATGCCGCACCCCTCCACAATAACCATGAGCGGGTGACGTCACTCCACATGCCGCATCCCTCCACAATAACCATGAGGGGGTGACGTCACTCCACATGCCGCATCCCTCCACAATAACCACGAGGGGTGACGTCACTCCACATGCCGCACCCCTCCACAATAACCATGAGCAGGTGACGTCACTCCACATGCCGCACCCCTCCACAATAACCATGAGGGGTGACGTCATTCCACATGCCGCACCCCTCCACAATAACCATGAGGGGGTGACGTCACTCCACATGCCGCATCCCTCCACAATAACCATGAGGGGTGACGTCACTCCACATGCCGCACCCCTCCACAATAACCATGAGGGGTGACGTCACTCCACATGCCGCACCCCTCCACAATAACCATGAGGGGGTGACGTCACTCCACATGCCGCATCCCTCCACAATAACCACGAGGGGTGACGTCACTCCACATGCCGCACCCCTCCACAATAACCATGAGCAGGTGACGTCACTCCACATGCTGCACCCCTCCCCAAGAACCATGAGGGGTGACGTCATTCCACATGCCGCACCCCTCCACAAGAACCATGAGCGGGAGACGTCACCATTTGCCGCACCCCTCCACAAGAACCATGAGGGGTGACGTCATTCCACATGCCACACCCCTCCCCAATAACCATGAGGGGGTGACGTCACTCCACATGCCGCACCCCTCCACAATAACCATGAGGGGGTGACGTCACTCCACATGCTGCACCCCTCCCCAAGAACCATGAGGGGTGACGTCATTCCACATGCCGCACCCCTCCACAAGAACCATGAGGGGTGACGTCATTCCACATGCAGCACCCCTCCCCAATAACCATGAGCGGGTGACGTCACCACTGGCCGCACCCCTCCACAATAACCATGAGGGGTGACGTCACTCCACATGCCGCACCCCTCCCCAATAACCATTAGCGGGTTACGTCACTCCACATGGGGCAACCCCCCCCCCCCCTCATTAATAATCATGAGCTGAACAATTTTCTATTGACTATTTCAGGCCTCGGCGGCTCACACACCCGACTGAGCAGAGTTAATTACAACCCGTGCACAACGAGTAGCATAAGGGGCCGTCCATAAATGACGTCACGCACCTCGGGGGGGGGGGGGGTCAGATATTTGTGAGATGTGTGACGAGGGGAGGGGGGGGTTTGAGAAATGTGACGTCACATCAAAATGCGCAACTTTCAATAAATATAGACAACACGTTCTACTTAATTAAATATACTTTTTAATAAATGTTTTTTCCTACAACATCAGAGTGCAGCGCCACATTAAATACGCACTACAATGACAAAAGTTTAAAGCGATTTGAAGCATGTTTAATTTTTTTTGGGGGGAGGGGGGCAGAGCTTTGTGACGTCATATTTGAGGTGGGGTCTGACTTTTTGTGACGCCGTGTGACGAGGGGGGGGGGGGGGGTCAAAAATCGTCCAAAATCGCGTGACGTCATTTATGGACGGCCCCGAAGTTGGGTAGTAAATTTTAAAAAATAATGGGATTTTTTTTTATTTTAGACGTGACGGAAAGGCAAGTCTGAATCGATGTGTCTTGCACAGACCGCGCAGTTGAGAGAGACGAGGCGCTTTGACGATGTCCGTTGTCGAGCAGCGCTGGGGTTTAGAGGCCGACCGAAGCTGAATTTCTGGTTTCGGCCGAAAACGAAACCAGACCGAAAGTAAAAACAAGTAAACCAGTAAAAACAAAGTTTTTCACTATAAATCCTTTATGTCCGTGGCAGCGAACTTAATATACAGGATTTAAAAATATATTCGATCCCGCGACCTTTGGCATGGGAAGCGAGGGCGCTACCAACTGCGCTACTCCGCCACGGCCTGTGGAGGGGTTACGCTCTGGGCTCTTATACTGTGACGTTCAGCCAAAGCGATGAATGAGTTATATTTGAATATATGTAAAATATTTTTTTTTGCCTAAAAAATTTAAAATTTTGGGAATTTTTTTTCACGAACATTAATTGTCTGGCACAACGAGTCTGTGTGGAAAATGTCAGCTCGATTGGATCACGGGAAGTGGGTTAAAAAACGACCGAAAGATTTGCACGGTCCTAAGCAAGCAAGCACGCAAGCAAGCAAGCAAGCACGCAAGCAAGCAAGCAAGCATGCGAACTTAATTTAAAGGATTTAAAAATGACTTTCGGCCGAAATAGAAAGTACACCGAAAGTGAACTTTTTGTCTTCGGCCGAAACAGAAACTATGCCGAAAGAGGCAATTTGCCAACTTTCGGCGCCGAAGCCGAAACCGAATTTCGCTCGGCCTCTACTGGGGTTGTGTTCCAGATTGTTGGGGCTGCAACTCGAGCAGCTATCATCCTCACCCCCCCCAGCGCCCAGCGTGGGGTGAACACATCCTGGGCTGGGCAAGTCTCGCCATGCCCAGGTGGAGTGACCCACCAACCCTCGCTGCTGCCCCACAGTGCTGCAGCGCAGGCGGCGTGTAGACTTGCCTTGATACTGGTAGGAACCACCTGGTTACACCAGCCCACAGGGGATTATTGTGTCCGTCCGTCGTGCATACAAAAATGGGAGGGGTGGGGCTGGGTGGGGAGAGGAGAATGGGGAGGTGCTGGGTGGGGAAGGTGGGGAGGGGCTGGGTGGGGAGAGTGGGGCTGGGTGGAGGGTGGGAGGGGTGGGGCTGGGTGGGGAGGGGCTGGTCACCCCGTGGTGCCCTTATAAAACTCAACGTTTAACCTACTCACGCCGGCTTGTGCCCGCCCTCACAGTCGGGCATATTTGCGGAATACACCACGCCGCTGTTGACCCTGCAGGCCATTGACCGAGCAACCCAACGTTCCTACCAGCTCCCTCCGCAGGACAATGTGTTTTAAAAAACGCCAATTAAGACTCTGTCGGGGCTTTTCACGCGTTGGCTTTCGCGACCAATATTCATAATAGAGCTTTATTTGGGGGGTGGGGGAGGGGTGTTAGATCACGTGGTTAACCCGCCACCATCGGACACAGCCAATTAGTGAGGTCTGTCACGTCGAAACAAAACAATTTTGCCAGAATTACGAATTACGAAGAGCTCTAACTGCTTCCGGTTTTAATTAGAACCAAATGGCCTCATATCACTCTGTAGGGGTTAATAATTGTTTATTATAATTGTTTTTTTACCCTTCTATCTGGCAACAAAACTGACACCTTTGTTGCCAGATAGAAGGGTAAAAAAACAATTATCATATTTTTACTGGCAAATGAGGTTCCCATAGAATTGTTTATCAATTTACCTCTTCGCAGTCTGAATCCATAGATCTCGCCAACATTAAACAGCCTTGCAGCGTTCTGGAAACTGTCGAGTGATACATTACAAGCCCTAGGTCAGGGGTCGGCAACCAAAATAATAAGAAGAGCCATTTCTTTCCAATTCGGTACAAAATTCAGTATTTTAAGAGCCGTAATGCATCTATGTACATACGTACATATCGTCAAGAAGCAGCCCGTAAAGAGCCGCATGCGGCTCCGGAGCCGTAGGTTGCCGACCCCTGCCCTAGGTAAACCTAAAACTCAATAACACTCTTATCTTAAAACTCCAAATGTCGTCGAGAACCAACTCGCGGACCTCCTGTGTACCAGGCGATGTTGTTAACATCTCACCACCAGCTTAAAATACGCTGCCAAGCTTAGCAGTGTTCATTGGAGCGCTGTCTTTCAGACAGCTCTGTCTTCACCTGAGGACGGCTGCTTGGGTTGTGGCCGAAACGTCGTGAGAATTGTATTGTATATTTATTATTTTATTATTTTTATTATTATTTTATTATGTTTTATTTTCATTATTTTAATATGTTTTATTTTTATTATTCTATTATGGCAATTTATTATTATTTTATTATTTCCCTTCCACGTGACTTTACCGAAAGAACCAAGAAGATGACGGCAGGGCATTGCTCCGTCTTGCAGGGTGGGTGGAGGCACGGGGCGGTGCTCTGGGAATTTTCCACAACAGCCATTGCCAGCTGAGAGTCAGACTCCCTCCCTCCCCTTCCTCCCTCCCTCCTCCCCTGGGAGGGATCAGCAACGGCGTGCCGGAGACAGGAGGTGACCCTCCTCATCATCATCCTCATCTTCATCATCATCATCCTCATCATCATCCTCATCATCATCCTCATCATCCTCATCATCATCCTCATCATCATCATCATCCTCCTCATCATCATCCTCCTCATCATCATCCTCATCATCATCCTCATCATCATCGTCCTCATCATCATCCTCCTCATCATCATCATCCTCCTCCTCATCCTCCTCATCATCATCATCCTCCTCATCATCATCATCCTCATCATCATCTTCATCATCATCCTCCTCATCATCCTCCTCCTCATCCTCATCATCATCCTCCTCCTCATCATCATCCTCCTCCTCATCATCATCCTCCTCCTCATCATCATCCTCCTCCTCATCATCATCATCATCCTCCTCCTCATCATCATCCTCCTCATCATCATCCTCCTCATCATCATCATCCTCATCATCATCATCATCCTCATCATCATCATCCTCATCATCATCATCCTCCTCATCATCATCATCCTCCTCATCATCATCATCCTCCTCCTCATCATCATCCTCCTCCTCCTCCTCATCATCATCATCCCAGTCACACAGAGCGGGCGTGGGGGGGGGGTCGAGGGTGGTTGCCCCCCCCCCCCACGACACCGCACCGATTGTTCTCGAGGCACTGCCCCCGAGTGTGAGACACCGCACCAACCTGCACTGCACCGGGTGTCTTTACACTTTACAGCGGCACTAATCACGGGGAGTGAGTGAGTTAGTTAGTTGTGTGTGTTAGCCGTGCTTGTGCACCAGTGCAGTAACACGCGTTTTTTTTTCATTATCTGTCTACACTGAACCCAGGTTAGAACCACTCAATGCATTGCATCGTTCGGACCCTGAGCTGCACTGCACGGAAAGTTTAAACCACACAACTGCGTCGTTCAGACCCAAAAACTGCCTCGAAGTTAGAACCACGCAATGCACTTGCACCCAATTCAGAACCACACCGGAACGAGTGCTCGCTCCCATTGGCTGCATCAACACCCGCGGGTCGCCGCTGATTGGACCGCGTTCTCGCCCAGCAACAAGCGGACCAATCACGAGGCGCCGCTCCCGGAAGCCGCGCTGTCGCAGTGCGGAGCACGGACGAAACCATGTTCAACAAGAGAGGGGGGGGGGTGAGCAGAGTGGAGAGCGTATTGTGTACAACAAACAGTGGGCGAAAGCAAGTCTGCGCGCGCGTTTTAAAAAAAAACTAGACTAACTTTAATAGCACCCTAACAACGAGATGTTATTTATTTTTCAAAGAAACCGCTAAAAAATAAAAACAAAATGCTCGTTTCGAGACACCCCCCCCCCTTCGCCGCGTTGATCCCGAGACCCGCGGCGTCACGTGACCGCGCGATGTGGTCGAGGCGACGCGAAGCCGCGCGGCTCAGTCGGAGTTGGCGGCTTCACGCGGCAACAGCAACAGCGGCAGCGGCAGCAGCAGCGGCGGCCTCTTGTCTCTGTGTGTGTCTCTCTCGTTCTCATCGTCTCCGCCGCAACGACTACAGTGAGCCCGCCGCCTCCATCTCTCTCTCCCCGCACCTTCTTCACCGAGACACCCCCCTCCCCCCCCCCTCTTTTCTAGGCCCCAATTCTCTACAGCGCCCCCCTCCTCTTTATTTTCTAGCTCCCGTTATGCGACTCGTTTTTTTCCACATCCTCTTGTCTATAGCCTCCCCCCACACACAATCCCCCCACTCGTAACTTCCCCTCTAAAGCCCCCCCCCCCCCTTCGGCCTCCTTTATTATTGACCCTATTCGTCTACAGCCCCCCATTCTCAAACTATCATTCTCTACAACCTTACTCCCCCCCTCCCCTCCATTGTAATCGTCCCACGCTATGCAGCCCCCCCCCCCTCTCCCACTTCTCAAGCTCTCTGCTGTCTCGAGCCCCCCTTTAACCTCCCTTCTACCCCCCCCCCCCATTCAACTGCCCCCCCCATTCAACTGCCCCCCCCATTCAACTGCCCCCCCCCCCCATTCAACTGCCCCCCCCCCCCCCCCCCCATTTGTCTCGAGCCCCCCTCTGATTGGGGCTCCCCTCCCCCACTCTGTGCGAACGGTCGCCATGATGAGCCGGCGGTGTTCATCATCAACACCATCATCAATAATAACATCATCATCACCATCAACACCATCATCAATAATAACATCATCTTCACCATCAACACCATCAATAATAACGTCATCACCATCAGCACCATCATCAATAATAATAACATCACCATCATCAATAATAACATCATCATCACCATCAACACCATCATCAATAATAACATCATCTTCACCATCGACATCATCAATAATAACATCACCATCATCAATAATTACATCATCATCAGCAGCACCATCAATAATAACATCACCATCATCAATAATTACATCATCATCATCAGCACCATCATCAATAATAACATCACCATCATCAATAATAACATCATAAATAATTACATCATCATCAATAATAACATCATCTTCACCATCATCAATAATAACATCATCACCATCAACACCATCATCAATAATTACATCATCATCAGTAATTACATGATCATCACCATCAACACCATCAATAATAATATCACCATCATCAATAATTACATGATCAACACCATCATCAATAATAACGTCAGCACCATCAACACCATCATCAATAATTACATCATCTTCACCATCAACACCATCAATAATAACGTCATCACCATCATCAATAATGACATCATCTTTACCATCAATAATATCACCATCAAACACCATAACTACCATCATCTTCATCAATAACATCACCATCAAACACCATCTTCACCATCAAAAACCATCAATAATTACATCGCCATCAAACATCATAATGAATAATGACATCACCATCAAACATCAATAACGACATCACCATCGTAGTCATATCGTATTCGTCAACAATAAACATCAACGTCTGTCGGATTGTAATGATCAATAACATCACAATCGTCAACAACAGCCTCATCAACACCACCCGGTCAACAATATCTGCATCCACATCGGCGTCAAACATAACATCGTAATCATCGATTATAATATCAGTACAATCGTGAAAATACTCGGGTAATTACGAGCAATATCAAATCCTCAACGGCATCTATCGGTATATAAATATAATCGTCAATAAAAAAAATCCACATCATCATCATTGCAGATCGGTTTCGTGTGAGAGATCGTGCGTAGTTGTTGAGTCGGACCTATTTTTGTTGATCTGCTTGGTGTCTTTTGTAAACATCAGCATTGGGAAGACAAAGGCGGCCCTGCCCCCCCCTGCCCCCCCTCGAGGCTTTAATAGGCGCTCACTAACAACACTTTCACCAACAGCCCATTAACGGCTTTAGATCGGCGATGGGGTCGTTAGGGGGCATCTTTTTGTCTTTAGCTTTGTAATTTGTGTGTTTGAATTTGAGGCTTGTAGTTGTGGCGAGTGCTGTAGCCGTCACTGGGGAGACGCAGGTGGCCGGGCGTGATGCTGGTCACCCACTCATCCTCGTGTGGCACGGTGGCCGGCCTTAATAGGTGCTCGCTAACAGCACTTGCTCCAACAGTCTGTTAAGGCTATACTGGGGGGTCTTTGTGGTTGTTTGTGGGGTATGTGAATGTCTGCGTTACGTGTGTGTACTGTAGCTGGTGGGGTTTGTGGCAAACATCGCCACTGGGGAGACAAAGGCGGCCGGGCGTGGTGCTGACCACCCACCCCCACGTGGGTGCTGTTCCCTAACACCACTTGCCCCTACAGTCTGTTAAGGTTATGCCGGGGGGGGGGTCTGTGGTTGTGTTTGTGTTGAGTTTACGAGAAGTGGGGTCACATCTAATGCAGGACCTCGGTAGATATCAGGGAAACCCCTAAACATCACAAGAACATTGTGTCAGTGTGGATAATTCCGTGAATAATAATAATAGCGCTAGTATGAACAGCAAGGTTATTTTGTTTATCCTGGTGAGAACTAAATGACCGTAATATCTCCTGAAAATCGGGGTGATTATCGAAGAGATACGAATTTGCTGATATTTGTACAATTTCAGTCATGTTTCACAATAGTGCAACATTTACACGAGGCAACTGCGTGCTATTTCATTAGTAACTTGGTGACGTAGATTTATTATTTCGGTGGACATGGAGACTATTCCGACGCTTAATACAGAGTGTGGTTACCGCTAATTTTAACTTGGTATGATTTATATCTGTTGATCAGCCCCTTTTTTTCAATTTGTATGAAAACAAAATCGAGGCTCGTATATCCCAAATGAAATTCATACATTTCAAAAACTGCTAAATATTACATAACATCAGCTTTGAGGGGAGCAACGTTGCTGCTCCCTTTGACAATGGTTTGGATGAGAAGGGATATGGGACCTCATCCAACTTCAATAATGATTTGGGGTCCCCTACATTTACCTCCCGGAGTTGGGGGGGGGGGGGCGCGGTGCATGCGTGTACGGATGTGCTTGATGTTGCGCGCCTGTTTATAGGTCGACTCAGCCTTAAATGAGTAACCTGGTGCGCTGTGTAAAACATTGCCACTGGGGAGACAAAGGCGCGCGGGAACGTGGTGCTGGTCACCCAATCCCCTTGTGTGCCGTGCCGGCCTGCGTAGGTGCTCGCTAACTAGCACTTCCCCCAACCATCTTAAGGTCATACAGGGCGGGATCTTTGTATTTGTTTGTGTCATCGTGTGTATGAGTGCTTGTGTGCATGTGTGTATGTATGCCTTGCCAGCTCCAGGTTTGTGAATATTAGTGGTAGTGGTGAAGTGATAATGGGCTGCAGTGGTTTAGACAGCTGATCTCAATCGCGAGCTATGTGGGTGGGCTGTTTTGACTTGGACGCTGTTGTCAACATAATGTGTTTACGACACTGCAGAGTTCCTCGCTGTTGACGATATAAAGATGAGTAATTTGTTGACTTGCACATTCCTCTAAAAATTCAATGAGTGGTGTGCCCCGGTATATCGATTTTCTTAACAAACTCCCAGGAAGACCAACTATAGCCTGGTTGTCGCTTTTAAAGTTATTTATATCAAATCATATAATTATTTTATAACGGCAGTGTAAGGAGAGATAAAAATAACTTCACTTGAAAGTACCAAAAATCACAAGTCGATTCTGGAATGCACGCTCCCACGATACACCGCAGTAAGTACCGCGATCAGGTCACAGCGTCGAGTGAAAATATCGTGTCCTCGTTGACGTGCGGCCGCGTTGTGCAAATAACGCCGCAGGCTTCGGAACCATCCCGTAGATGATGAGTTTGATGACAGACCGTGGCGCGAGTGATTGAGCGACGTTCATTTGCGCGTGTCTTCGCGGTGTCTGGCGCGTGTGTGCGTGCTTTGTGTGCGTGCGTGCGTGTCGTAGGATTGGGATGTCCCAGCGTGACGCTGTCACCATGAAGGCCTCAGTGGAGCAGGGCGGCCCGGCGAGGCTCGGCTACCGCGTTCGCTATAGCAGCTCGGTGAGTGGGGACGCGTGTGAAAAAGAGCTTTGTAGTTAAAGTCACGTAGATTAAAAGAAAACAAATAAATTAAATCACGACGTTTCGGAGGCAACACAAGCTTCCGTCTTCAGGTGAAACCGTCACAGCAAAATTAATTAATTTGTTTTCTTTTAACCTATGTGATTTTACCGAAAAAAAACCCAAAGAGGATGAATCCTTGCAGTCACGAAAGCTTCAAATCTAGAATTAAGCTTTATAGTTCATCGGATTCCTCCTGTATATAAATATATACTCCTATTCTGAGCGACAGCTCTTCCGTCTGAGTTCACGGACGGGCGTACCGTGTACCTTCCTCCAGCGGTGGCACCTTCATGCCGAAAGTTCCCCCTCCCAAGCCAGCCTTGGGGTGCAACCGGAAAATATTGAGCGAGAAACGAAGGCTCGGCAACGATAGCTTCACCCGCAACGTTGCGCTGGTCTCGCCACACAGGGAACTCCTGGAATAGGCCGTGGCGTTTCAGACCGCCCCACTGATGAAAAAGGTGGCTGGGTCCCTGGCCTTAAACCCACATTTTTGGTATAATTCCAAGAAACCGGTCATCTCGGTTTTGGCTTTTGAAGTTAGATGATCAAAGCTTCCCATCGTGCTCCACCAAAGTGCCCAGAGTGCACTCCACCTCGTCAGGTCTCGGGGGTCGGGGGGCTAAGCAGAATTGAGCCTGGTAAGTGCTTGGATGGGCGACCATTGTGGTGTGGGGTTGTGAGGTGGCCACCGGATGGATGGTGGTGCCGAGTTGTTATCCCCGCGTGTGTCGTGGGTTTTCTCCGGGCACTCTAGTTTCCTCCCACACTCGAATTGAAGGAATTGAGCCCAACAGCTCAATGTAGTAGGACCCTCCCGAAAGATAATATGGGGACTCGTTGAGGTTTTCCTGGATAAATAATTTGTATTAAAGATGAATGGGGGCCTGGAGCGTGGTGGCGCAGTGCTAAACATACTTTCATATTGATCCAACGAATTCAATTGGATTCATGGCCACGGCTGACATCAGTGGCGAGCGACATGCGTACCGGTTCTGCCTCCTTCACAGTCTTCATTTCTCACTGCCTGCACAAACTTCCCCGATAACTGACGGGGCATGGGGAGGCTTTCATCTGGCAGTGGATTGGCAAAGGTGTGCAAATTGTTATTAATATTTTATAAGCAAACCCCCGCTGGTGTTTCCCTCGGGCATTTGGCTCCATCCTCAACTCTTGACAGTGCCAGCTCTTCCTGCATGCACATGTCCGGAGGGCTTGTGTCTCTGTTGAATTGGCAGTTGAAGAGCCTGTTGGGAACGTTTCTTGTTTACAGCGAATTGCGTATATGCCAGGGTACACGGTGTACTGGTTTCTCCCAATGCGCCGGTGTTGTGATGATAAAGAAGTCACTGTGTAGGACATCTGGGCGTCAGGGTGCATGAGCTTGTTTGAACTGTCTTCTATTTTGTTGGGACATTGTTTAAATAAAGAAAACGTTTTATAGCAACACGTTGAGATTCTGCATATATTGTTTGGTTAAGGCCACGTGGTGACCCGGCCAAATTGGTTTTGTAATACCCTCCACCACGTAACAGAGTCAAACAATTTCAGTTATCACCTGTACAAGCGTTTAATGCGGGAATAATTGTTGTTTCGGTTCACTCATTAAGTTAGTTGAATAAAAACCCTCGTAAACAAATATAGCACATCTGACTTTTCACTTGAAGCTGCATCAAGCATCTTCTGGAAGGAAAAAAAACATGACAAGCTTGTTCCTGTGTTGTTACGAGACTATTTAAGAAGCCGGGTCAAGTGACACGGTTCCTGGATTTCATTCTGACTTTCAGGATTTTCCCGAAGATGCTCAATGCATTTTCAAGCAAAGCAGGAAAAGGTTCGATAGACTTAGGCGACCAGGTGGTGTGGATGTGGCAAGTGGACGTTTCAAAGATGTGTTTATATATCCTTGAGTCTGGCTCGGCTCACCTGGTGCTCCGCGTCCCCCCCACAGGGTCACGTCGCCGTTCCGGACGGCATGGAGGTGGCCGGCCGTGCAGAAGGCCTCCCTCTCGACCCTTCGGTCCACTCGCACATGGGCATGCTGGGCGAGTCGGGCCAGCGACACCGCCGGAAGTACCAGGCCGGCATTCATCTTCTCAAGCCCTTCCGCACCACCTCTAAGTGAGCATTCGTGTCACCTTCCGTGCCTGTCCTCATGGCGTGGCGGGTGTTGTTTCCAAGCTCCAAGTTTATTTTGTTTCGCCAGGGTGAGAACTGGGGAGACGAGGATGAGTGGCTGACCCGGGTCACCGACATGGACGGAAGCAATTACGAGAAAACTAGTACGACAAAGGAACGAATTGAACTCGGCGCAGAAACGACTGCGTTATGGTGGGGGTCTGTGACACCCAAGAGGTTTGAGTTCAATGAAGAAACGACCGAGAAACAGTCCCGTGTGTTAATCACGATGGCTGTGGCAACTCCGTTCGTTTCTCAGTTGTGCTTTTTGCTCTAGACCGTCCGGCACGTGCGCCAAAATGATAAACGTTTGAAAATAGTTTTTTCGTTGTGCGGCTACCGATGGTAACGCAAAGCATCCGATTTCTAATTACTCCTGGCTAGGTTCGTGCGATGTGCGTACAATGAGCCGATTTTATTAGGGGGGGTGGGTTGGTGTGGTTTATCCCAGGGGTTGTCCCTGCCCCCCCCCTCCATAAACCTGATCCTCTTATGTCTGGTGATGGGGGGACTAGCCCGGTACATGAACCCCCTGGGGTTGTCCGGCCGCTTTATGAGCTCTGGCCACTGTAGGTGTCGTCTTACACTCACCCCCGATAAAAGGTTTCCCGTTTCCCACGCCGCGTGTTTGTGCTTCCAGCCCCTGTGTTTTATAGCGGGCGGTTGTGGTGTCGTTTGACTGACACGTTCGCTCGAGTACAGGTCAGCTGGCAAGTTTCCTAAATGCATGTGTTGGGTATGCCTGAAATGAAGAATAACAGCTTTACAAAGCCTTCGGGGGCGGTGACGTGGCCCAGCTAATCGAAGGTGCACGTTAAACGAAGACTACTGTATATGTATCTCTTATGTGCGGTCATCGGTGACGGTACTGATACTCGTTACACTTGAGAATCCTGTTTAATCACAACTCATTCCACGCAAGTTTATGGCTCTCTATGCAAGGATGAGTATACGAGTTTCTTTATGGATTTACAGGTCCCGATGCGAGTCTAAGGTTCTCCGAGTACGTGAATGGATTTCGGATTTAACTGTACGGATCTTTCTGTGCGAGGTCATTGAAGCCCTTTAACTCCCTCAACTAATTACCGGACAGTTTAATCACAGGCAGCTGAAACTTGGCTTCAAACCGTGGATCTCGGTCTTTGTGACCTCAGCCAACCTGGTCTCCTCTGCCGAGTCGGCTTTTAAATAGACGTGCGACAAATACGACAATGTCAAATATCCTACGTATGCCCTTAGTCTTGACCTTCCTCATCCATCACTGACCACCCCAAAGTCTGGAGGGACCACTGTTTGGAGAGCAGAAGGCCCCATATGAAGAACGAGTTCATAAAGCTTGTCTTCGCCAGGCAAAAGTTTTCAAGAAATATTATAATGAGCCTGATATGATTTTTTTGTATCTACGATCAGACACGAACGACTCCTCCAAAAATGTGTATTTTTCTGTAAAAAAAAACGTTGACGACTTCATTCAACTTATATTTAAAGACGCCCTCATCGGAAACCGCTCAATTTATAGATTTTCTTTTTAGTAGGAAGAACAAAAATTTATGGACTTAATACTCTGAGTGGAAGCTCCTATCTTTTACTGTTTTTTTATTATAGAATTCTGATTTGAACTTAATATGCATATTTTTTTAGTTCAAAACCGCTTTAATCCGAAATATCTCAAACAATAAAAGATAGAACAATGGTTCCCACTTGAATTTTATTTGCTGTTTACCTCTCTATCAAACGAAAAAAGTCCGCAATCTTATATATTTGTACGGTGTCTGAATGACACGCACAAACCATGTTTACGGGGCACTTAAAATCGAGATTTGGGGCCTTAAAATAACATATCTGAGTTTCTGATTTTCCTTGTTCATGTCCTAAAAGCTACCGATGTACCAAATTTCAGCTTTCTACTTCATCGGGAAGTATTCTATAGGTTTTTGAGACATACAGATTAAGGTTTTTTTTTATATAGATACTGCTGAGGCAGTAGAGCGACAAGGCTGTGTCAGCAATTCTATGAATTTTCAAGGTTAATAATCGAAATTTAATTGAAGATCGATTCTTTTTTTGTCTCCTTTTCCACTCGGTTGCATTGTTTTTGTTGGGCTTTTGTCATCTCCATGTCACCGTCCACCGTTGGCAAATTATCCTCAACTTCAGCAATTCGCAATCTGGCCACGGGACGTGGTTCGTTTTATAGACGCCCATCAGCCCGAATGCCATTTGAGAGTAATTTTCTCTTGAATTGCAAACAATCGATCCCTAATTCTAGATTTGAAGCTTTCGTGACTGCAAGGATTCATATTCTTAGGTTTTTCGGCAAAGTCACATAGGTAAAAAAAATTGAAATTAATAAAAGTAAAATAAAAATATTTTAATTTTACTTTTATTTAACTTTTATTAATGAGACATACAGATTAAGGTATTTATTTATATATTTTTATTTTACTTTTATTAATTTTAATTTTTTACCTACGTGACTTTACCGAAAAAACCTAAGAATATGAATCGATCCCTACTATTTCCGTGTTATCCGATTGGTCGAGTAATCAAAACGATAATCATTCGCGCAGTGACTTATTTAATAAACAACCCATTGCAGAACCGCAGAGCTTGGGCAATTGATAGCACTTTTTCTGGCCGCTTTGCCAAGCGTTTTAGTACGAAAGTGAAAATCCTACGTTTGTTTTGAGACGCGATTGGCACGAATGACTATACGCACGCATACGTACGTACATGAATGATCGGATAGCCCAGCGCTCGTTGTGATGCTCTCTTGCCTCCCTCGCAGACACACACACCCCGTGGACAACGCGGGCCTCTTCTCCTTCATGACGTTTAACTGGCTGTCGCCACTCGCGTGGAAAGCCTTCAAGAAAGGCGAACTCAAGATGGACCACGTGTGGCCGGTCTCCAAGCACGAGGGTTCGGCCGTCAACGCACGCAGGTGACCCCGCGTCTCCCTCCCTGCCGTTCAGCCCGTGTGCGCGTGCGCCGAAGTGTAGCGATTAGCGCATTGCGCTACGAAGTCGCCGACCCGAGTTCGATTCCTGCTCGCTGCCGACATCGGGGAGACAGAGGTGGCCGGGCGTGGCACTAGCCACCCATCCCCTCGCGTGCTCGTTCACAGCACTCGACCCAACAGCCTGTTAAGGCTATAAAGGGGATCTTTGCGTGCGTGTGTTCCAGCGAGCAGTGGTTAGTGCGCACCGCACTATGGACCCGGCCAACGGAGTTCAATTCCCGCTTACAGGCAACATCGATGGCGAATATTTTAACCAGTCTTTGGCCTCTCTTAAGACAACTCGGTCTTGAATGAGTAACTGGTGCGTTGTACAAACATTGCAGGCGACACACAGGGTGTGGACCTGGCCACCCCACGTCATCGGGTGCTGTACAGGCCTTGATAGGCCTTCATAGCTCCTCGCGAACTGAAATGGCCCCAACAATCTGTAAAAGACTCTACGAGGTTGGGGGGGATCTTTGTCTTTTTATGTGTGTCTATGCGTGTGCAGGACCACGTTTGTGGAGTTGTGCGTGTGTGTGCGTCACATGCACCATCAGCTGCTGTAATTTATAGCCAACGACCTTTGGGAAGAGTGTGCTGAGCTATTTTCTCTGCGGGGCAAAAATAGGGGCGTTGGTTGACACTTTCACAAAGCGGGGTGTGTTCCTGGGTGGTGTGACCTCCGCACGTCCCCTCCCGACCTTCGTTTAATCTTCGCGTGTCACACGTAACGTGTGACACGTGCGGCCGCTATTGCCGGTTCACTGCTGAATGAGGATGGTTTGACCGTATATGACCGCCGCTGGTGGTCAGTGCGGGTTGGTGGAGGGGGAGCGTAGACGTGGGGAGCGTAGAAGTGCAGCACGATGATGGAATTTTCTGCACTTCTGCTGCATCCACCAAGCTCGGTGACAACCTCGCTATGCGTGGCGGGGGTCGCCCTTCACAGTTGCCACGTCTCGGCCAGCGATGGGCAACCGTGACTAGTAGGTGGGCCGCATTAGTGGCCCTCCTTCACCTCAGCGGGCCGCAAGCTTTGATACCGTGCTTGTGCGCTAACCATGACCCCCCCTCGCATCACCTGGGAGACACTGGGACCAGGCCACCACCAGGGGCTCGTGGGACGCGTTCGGCCTGCGGGCCACAGGTTGGCCCACCATTGGTCCAGGCCAGAGGTCGCAAACGGGTTTTGATTCCTTACCCGTACCCGGCCGCACCAGGGTCGCAAACGGGTACCCGTACCCTACCCAATACCTGGCTACCCGTACCCGGCCGGGTATCGGGTAGGGTAAAGGTACGGGTAGGGTACGGGTAGGGTATGGGTATCAGGTAGGGTACGGGTATCGGGTACCCGATTGCGACCTCTGGGATGAAGCCATGTTGCAGGCGCAGGTGGGTTGATTCTAGGAACCTGAATTGTGAGAAGAGACAAGACGTTGGGAAATGAGTGACAAACGGTTACTCACCAGTGACTCACGGCCTACCCGTACCCGGCCGGGTGCGGGTAGCCGGGTATCGGGTACCTGATTGCGACCTCTGGTTCAGGATCTCGAGCCTGCTTGGCTTCCCAGATGTGATGAGATCTGGCCTCTTCCTCGTGTATTGGTCGCAGGCTGTAATGGGTTTTAAATATTTAAATCTTCCATGAGAAGACGCCTTTGTTTAGAAGACACTCTTCAATACAAGAACAACAACAAAAATAAAAAAAGCCCGGGGCATAAACTATTAACCAGTTGCGCTCGATTGATGGTGCCTGGTTTTAGTCGATATCGTTGAGGTCGTTTTAAGGCGGTGGTTTCTAATCTCTCTCCGAATCAGGAATACACCGTCAACATTCAGAATACGTTGGCGTGGCGTACCACTGCACGGTACAACTGTTGGTGTTTTGTTAAACGAACCTTATCTGTAACAGTTCCGTGGATCAATTCCCACGGCCCTGCAGATCACCAGTATGGTTCGCAGACCGCAGGTTGGGAAACGTTTGTCTAAAGGCATAGTGGCGAAATTTCCAGAACCCCTACTTTGATACTGTACAGCATATTCAGATGTGGTCACATTTATATGCTGTAACAACTTGTGCTGCATTGTATGGCTTGAAGAGTTCTAACTGACTGGCCACAAATGATACCTCTACAAAGTGGCTTATCAATATAAAGAAAAACCTCTTATGGATAGTATCGGTCGCAAAAGCCTACATGTTAAATTGGCTTGTCATGTGGAAAATTATCTCGGACAAGTAAGGTCTCCTCTGCCTGTGGACCACAATAGTTTTACTGCTGGACTTGTTGCAGTGTTATTTTATGGCAATTGGTAAACATTTACCCCCCCTGTTGCTAGAGTGAGTGTGGGGGGAATGTAATCATTGTAGGAGCCTGGTGGTGATTCATGCCAGGTGTGTGGTAGGAATGTGGGTGGTGGGCGCAGCCCCTTGCAGCAATTAGGCATGTAATGATTAGATATTACACCAGCGTGTCCTGAGCATCATTGTGAATTATGGCCAAGTAATGGTTAAATAACGAAACCCCCATGACCGACGGCAGCTTGGAGAGGGGGGGGCTTTAATGTTGGTGATGCAGTGGTAACACTTGGCCCCCTTTTCTGTGTGGAGTTTGCACGTTCCCTACACTCCGTTGGTTTTCTCTGGGTTCTCTGCAATCTTCCCAGAACAAAAAACACACACAACATAGCTGGTAGTGACCAAGCATCCCAATGCTGGAAAATGCCGTGCAAAAAAGAAAAAAATGGCTCAATCGGGATGATACATTGCAACATATTTCCCCTCCCGAAAAAGTGTCTTGGCGACTCGGTGAAGTGTTCTTGAGGTATATCAACGTTGGAAACAATAATTCATCCATTGGTTGGTGGACAAAGGGGTGTACGTTTTATTTTAACAATGGCGATTCTTGCGTCACATGGCCATGCACTGCCACGCTGAGGAAGAGGGTTGGCTTGAATTGTGTGTTCGCTAGTTCCCGAATTCAACCCCCCCCCCCCCCCCCCCGGCACATTCACTGTTAGTCTGCGCCGTCGCTCCGGGTTAATGAATGCAGGCTGACCATCAGTGACGTTATAACGATCAGAAGGCTCGCTTGAGAGCGCACGTAAGTGCCTGTAGCGGGTGGTCACACGCAGATAAGGGCCTGTAGGCCTCGGCCGCCGCCCACACTCAACCGCTGTTTCCTTAGCAATGGCAGTCGTTACACAAACACTGGTTACGCTGGCAAGGGAGGGAATGGCACGGTCACCTTCACCATTCCTCCTGGGTCTCAGTGCTCAGGAGTCACCCGGGGGTTATCGGCATGGGTGAGGGCATTGTGGGGGGTGGGGGGGTTGATTTGTAAACGGAACATTATAATGAATTGGCACATTCAGTTTACGTGACGAACCTTACTAATTGGCTGTCGGGTTCTGGCGCGTTTAACGACACATTTATGTTTATGCGACTTAACCCTTTACTTTTCTTGCACCAGAGCCCTTGCCAACCATGTTATGCCCACTCAATTGAATGTTGACCCTTAGACTTAGATACAGACCCATAGACTTGAGTAGAGTAACCCACAGAATCAGAATGTTTATACTGGAGGAATCCGATGAGCTATAAAAGCTCTTTTTCACAGATGTCCAGGATGGGCGGGTAAGAACGATAAATCGACAAACTACAAAAAATGATAGTAGTGAAAGGTACAAGAAAGATAAACACATCACTCAAATACATAAATAAACCATTCCCATCCTACCAGGCAAAGCCCACTGAGGTATTCACTTATTTTTCAGAAGCAACCTAGCCACAAATGGTAGCTCAAAAACGTGGACTTCATAATCTCAATACATGTCTCTAACTCTGGAGGGACAAAACCGGGGGACCCGGAGAAAAAAAATCAACGAAAAAAATATGCATTGGACCCGTAGACTAACACATTCTTGTGGAGGGAGCTGCTCGGTCAATGGCCAGGGTCAACGGCGGCGTTGGTGTTTTCCGCAAATATGGCTGACTGTGAGGGCGGGCACAAGCCGGCGTGAGTAGGTTAAACGTTGAGTTTTATAAGGGCACCACGGGGTGACCAGCCCCTTCCCACCCAGCCTCACCCCTCCCACCCCCCACCCAGCCCCACCTCACCCTCCCCACCCAGCCCCTCCCCACCCTCCCCTCTCCACCCAGCCCCCCCCCTCCCATTTTTGGATGCACGACGGACGGACACAATAATCCCCTGTGGGCTGGTGGAACCAGGTGGTTCCTACCAGTAAAATAGAATACATAGATTACCATAGAAAACGTAGACTGACGTAGCGCCCATAGACAAACATTAAACCCACAAACTATAACATAGCACCCATAAAACCAACATAGTTACCCGTAAACTAACATTTATGTATGAGACTCATTAAAACCCACAGACTGGCAGCATACGCTAACACGGAACCCGGCGATTAACAGAGAATCCAGCGGAGCAGCTCTGGAGTGTACAGGCGGTGGCACCTGCTCGGAGGCCCAATGGCCAGAGGGCTCCTTGTACCCGGCGATGGCGAAGAAGGGGGGGGGGGTGAATTGGACACGGGGTCCCATTCCTTACATCTTGCACCTGGGCCCGTGTATATTTGTGTACAAAACATTAGCGGCGTTGTGTGGACACCCTGCCCTGTTTAACCGATGCTTCCACTTCTGACCCACCCACCGGGGTCACTGCTCTGCTGCACGCGGCGTATTTTCCAAATTAAGATTGTTGTTTGTTGGAAGTGGGCGGGTGGCTCGGAGGTCAGAAAGCTGAGCTTTGCATTACTTCGGAGTTCCTGGCTTGAAAGCGCATTCTGCAGTGGTAGCAAGTTGATGGTCGATGCCCGGTCACCAATGGCTGCACGAAAAAGATACAACGTTAAATTTAATTCCGCGCGTAATTTTCGCTCTGAGTTCCAGCTCTGATAACCGCCAACGATTAGTTTGACTATCGTGCGACGGACTTGGTATCATATCACTGCAGGTGGGAAAGTGCTCCTTTATATCCGCTTCTGCAGACCATTCGCTAACAAAGGGCGGGAGGAGGGGGGGACGCTGGTGGAGGGGGGAGGGATGCACTGCGAAAGATCCTAATGGAAAGATCCAAATGGATTCGTCATCGCGTGTCATTACACCCGAGAGTACAATCGCGCGCGGCAGAATTGGAAGGATAAGGTAAAAGCAGGAAGCAAATGCGTAGAATAAAAGGCGTCAACAATGAGAGCGTCCGTCCATAGGCGTGGGACTGCGACCGCCTCTGGCTAAAGCCGGGGACGCTTTGCCCTTGCGTGACAAGATTGCGGATGATAAAGGCATGGGCTGGTGATTTTTTATTTTATTTTACTGTGCCTGAAGCTAAGGAGGGCTGTGTCTCACCAGGCCTCATTAAAATGCTTTTGTGCGAAGACTGCTATTCCTCCAGACACCCGTGCTTTGTTCTCCAGCGAAGCAGCACTGTTGTGACGGATCGCCGCGCAATTTCCGTACACACAGCAGCGTCTGGAACTCTGCACTCACCAATGCAATACAAATACACTACAAAGTGGTTGTAGAAAGCTCATAAAGGGTGACCCCTGCTCAAGACACTACACAGTGGGTTTGTGTTTGATCGGGAGAGGTCGTTGGGCAGAGCAGAAGAGGAAGGGTTTGAGTCTGGACTTGCACAGCACTGATGGCTGGAGGAAAGGAGTTTCAGACTACGGAGGTAGCAGAAGAGAATGAGCGACCTCCCGCTGGCTGAAGGTTGGCAGCGGGCTTCCACTGAAAGCCTTGGTTGCTTGATTGGGGAGTGTATGTTTTAGGTAGTAGAGTGACATGAGAGGGGAGAGGTAGGAGAGTGCGTGGAGTAGTAGTGAGATGAGAGGGGAGAGGTAGGAGAGTCCGTGGATGGCTCTTCCACAACAAGTCAGGGATCTCTAAATCTGTGGACATTTTTAAAATGTGTCTCGAAACTCATTTATACGCTTTCCGCTTATTACACTTTTAGTTCATTTAGCAAATGGATTTTTAAAATGTATTCATGATGTAATTATTTTCATGCCGAGCATCTGCTGCTGCGTCCTGTATGGCACTTTGAGATCCTTGATGGAAAGCCGCTGTATAAATTGAATTATTATAAATAGAGTGAGACGAGAGGGGGGGTGGGCAGAGTTACTCGGAGCGGAGTCCGTGGTGGGTCACGAAGACGGTGAGCCGTGATCTTCATATTGATCCGGGAGAGGATTGGGGAGCAAGTGGGAGGCATCGTAGTGTCGGGGCGACATAACCTCGATTGCGAGTGTGTGTGAGGAGTCTGGCCTCAACGTGCACATAGCCTGGCACAAGCGCCGTGGTGACGTCACCGCCACTTAGTGGCGAACGGCGGTTGTTGTTGTTGGAGTCTGGCAGCAGCGTCTCTTGCTGGCATCGAGTTTGGGAGATGACAACATTAGTCATAGCAGTGGTGCAGCAGCAGCAGTAGTAGCAGGGCTTGGTATTGGCCAACAATGGTTGTCTGCTATTTAAATTTGAGAATATACGGTAGTGGGTGTACATGCTTATGTAACGCGGCGTACGAATGTAGAGCACTTATGTAACTGCTCTTTCCCTTGGATAACCGGTGGCAGTGGCGCTTTATCCCATTAAGCGATGGGTTGAGCTGTTGGTATTTTTCGCTCGGGCTTTTCTGAACAGAAACCGCATCGCGGAGCGAGGCACTCGTTGGTTTACGCGAGAACAGGCAAGCGCCTGAGACCTTGGTAAAAATAAATGCATTGTCACAGTGAAAGGGTCTGACCTTTTAATAATCGTAATAATAAATAATTTTTTAGTACATTTGCCATTCCGAAAGTGCAAGGCTGCCACGCGGGAACGCGCCGTTTCACACGCAATCCGGTTGAGCCTGGATGGCGCTGGCCTGGGCGAATGCCACTCAACAAACAGCGTCTGCAACGCTTCCGAAATGTTAGCAAGCCGCTTAGGGCTGCGCACTTTCAAATCACCTGGGTTGAAAACTCATTTCTTGAAAGCTGATTTTTGTGTTGCGTTTGTTGACCTTCTCGCACGGTTGCCCCCTACGTACGGCACTAAAGAAGTTCAACACGCATACATTCATAGTAGTAGGTTTTTACCCTTTAAACTGGTACAAAACTGACACCTTTATACAAGGTATCATGTTTGCAATAACCACAACACAAGCAGTCAAAATGCAAACAAAAAGAAACAACTTTGATAATGGTAATGATATGCACTGTCCTTGAAGTTGATTGGTCCACACCCGAGACAGCTTTCCTTAGAGCCTAGTCTCCATTGGTGTTGGATCAGATGACGCCAAAAGGCGTACAACTCAAAGACAGCGCACTATCAGAGTATTGAGAGCTCGGGGTAAGCATTTATACTGAGACCTCCTTTACCAGTGGCAAAATATAGTAGTAGGTTTTTACCCTTTAAACTGGTACAAAACTGACACCTTTATACAAGGCATCATGTTTGCAATAACCACAACACAAGCAGGCAAAATGCAAACAACTCTGATAATGGTCGTCTCCAGTCGTTGCATACATTCGTTAGAAGCTGCTGCAGACAGCAGATGCATCCATCGTTGTGCCGTACTGACTTTCTACACTTCCACATGCGGCTCTGTCCGCCGTCGCCAGCCCGCACCGACCGACGTGGCTAAGTATGCTCAAAGAATCCCCGTGATCCGCAAGGCGTCATGGAGAGGCCCTCATCCAGCAATGGAACCGACGAACATTGCCGTACTGGACAGTAGACACGGGGAGCCGCGGTTGTTTCCGCCGCTTTGATTTTGCCCCCATCACGTTACTCGCCAAGCCCAATTTCGTCTTTGGCTAACACTCATGGGGATTCCCCAAGCCTTAGTCATTACCCTCGTTGTTGCCTGCCAGGCAGCCTTGCTTATTAGCACGTGGATGTCATCAATCAATGTCAGCCGCTATTCATAATAATTATTAACATTTGTAAGGTGCATTTCATCCATAGATCCCAATGCGCCGTGTATGGAAAGCCGGAAATTAACAACCAGGGTGAACGGCCAGAGCTAGGGGGTGTAAAGGCCAATTCAAAGATTTTAGTTTTGAATGTAGACTTAAATATGTTTGACTACTCTGTTTTTTCACCAAACGCAAAGCGTCCCAGAGTCTGGGAGCTGCACTGGCAAAAGCTGCATCACCCCGGCAACAGAGCCTTGACCTGGAAAGGCGGCTTTATAAATCCGAAGTAGAATAGAATAAAGGTCTCGGGGACATCGTTGAGAGAATAAAAATGGATCGGTTCCCAGAAAATCTTGCGGTGCTATGGACACAGGCACGCATAGAGAAGGGGGCACGTCGTTGCCTACCCAGCGGTTTGAGCTGAGCGCGTAAACAAGGGGAACTTGATGCGCATGACGTCACGCATTCTTCCGCACGGGCGACCTTTGTCCCACTTGCTTCTCCGGAGGCAATGTTCTGCTGTGTGCCGGCCCTCGCCTTCTGCCCTACGGCTCCTGCGTCATCACTTTGCTAGTGCGGAATCTCCGCCGTCTGCAGTCGTTGACATCGATTGTTGTGTCGTTGGTCTCTTGTTGATCCGTTGCTCCGGGATGTGCACGCACCAGGACCAGGCAGTGGCTAAACGCACGCTCCAAAGCTCCGCGCGGATGAATGCGCAATGCGTAGCGTTCAAAGATCCTCAGGCACCGATCGATTTTGGTGCGTTACCCTGGAGGTCGCCGGTTCGATCGGTTGAAACGATGGGCAAGTTTGCCGAGTCTGCCCCCCGCCGCCCACCCCGTGTCAGGGACGCGCCGCCGTGCATGCGACGAGCTCTCGCGTTGCATGATCGCCATTTGTTTATTTTGCGTTTTGTACATCACTGTTTGTCTCAGTCCCCTTGCTTAGACCAGGGGCGGCTCATGGCGGGGTGTGGGGGGGATGTTGTTTGATCATACTTCACCACGCTGGTGAAGGCAGCGGAGATCATTCACAAACAGCGTCTGCAACGCTTCCGAAATGTTAGCAAGCCGCTGGAGCTGCGCACTTTCAAATCATCCAGATTGAAAACTCATTTCTTGGTGAAGGCAGCGGAGAGCATGGACGTGGTAGTCTAGAAGTTGCAATGGATTATTTCCACACTGCCTTCTGTTGGGCCTGCCACATAGCTGTGCAGCAGCCTGTTGCACTTACTGTGGCTTCACTGTAAAAATAAAGATTCGGTGCTTATGTGCCTTTGCCGGCCCGAGCCGGTACGGCCTTAATAGATGCTCTCGAACAGCACCAGTCCAATCTTTGTCGTTATACGTGCAGTAAACACGTCAGTGAAACAACAGCGGCATAAATCTATTGTGGACCTGCAACATCATTCACAAGTGGTTTACATACTCCACCTTTTGTTAATAATCTGCGGCACACTGGGGAATTGTTTTGTATTCGAGTATTTGTTTTTTCCCCTCTCTTCTAAAAACGGGGGGGGGGGGGGGGGGAAAGGGGAGGGGGGTGCTTAAAAACACTGCCCCTAGGGTTCCAGGGTGGGTGGGTCCCATGGTAACGGCACCGTGCCTTACGTGTATCGCCGCATTTACATTCGCGGTTCCTTTGTTTGACGGCCAGAGCCTCGGGCGTTTCCCCAGTGGTTCACGAGAATGGACGTGCCCAGAAATGTTTTTAATCGTCGTCACCACCGTAACATTTTTTTATTTCGGGTGGCGCAGTGATAACACTCTTGCCTCGCGGCAAGGAATGCCTGTGTTTGATTCCTGACTCTTTCTGTGTGGAGTTGATACGTTCTGCCTGTGTTCTGTAATTAGTTTACTCCGGATGACATATGTCATAAGGCACTGTGAGAGCAATGCCTTGTGAGCGCTAAAAGCATTGCGTGGAAAACGTGATGACAAAAAGAGCAGGACCCTTGAGTTGACACCAGGCCCCCTCTCCCCTCAATGCTCCCATCCGTCTCGTCGCAGGTTGGAGCGTCTTTGGCAACAGGAGCTGAAGGAGTGCGGGCGGGAGGGCGCCTCGCTGTCGCGCGTCATGTGGAGGTTCTGCCGAACCCGCCTCGTCATCTCCATCCTCTGCCTGATGATCACCATGCTCGCTGGATTTTGTGGCCCCGTGAGTGACTTCACACATCTGCTCATCCCCACTGCGCACTGCTGACCCCGGCCGGCCCGAGCTGTTTCTTCGGCCGCTCCCGTCACAAAAAAAGCGGCAAAAAATAAAAAACCAAAACTTCGTCGTCCCGGCCGCGACTCCGGTCGCCACGGAAACCTCTCATCCTCCGGCGGTTGGCGGCGCGGGAGCGTGCGGATGCGCGTGCGCGCCCTCCGCTGTTTTGCCGTGGAGATGCGACGAGCGAGCTGGCGGGTAGAGGTGCTCCGTGAAGGGAAGCGATGACCCCCCGCTCAACAAACGACCTACCGAACGACCGATCCGATGTCTTTGTTGATGATGGGTCTTCTGACGGGTGGCGGTGTTTGTCCAACAGTGCCTTGTCTGCGTTCCCGGCCCCTTGGTATGTGTCTGACCAGCTTATTGTTGTTGTGACTGTCCTCAGGAGAGAGGTGGGTGCGAGTCCTTTGCTAGCTACGTTGTTGTCATCGTTGTTGTTGTTGTTGTGAAGGCTTGCAGGTCAGAGGGGTGCACATTACCTACCGTAAGTGGGCTTCGGTTCATCGCCTGACAGCTTTGAGATTTTTGAGCAGTTTTGTTCCAAGCACTGGGGTGTGCGGATATAATGCTGTGATTACTTCTCTCTCTCGATGCACACGATAAGCTGCTGTTTTGCCTCTGGCTTCGTTCAGCTTTGCTTCTGTGAGGTTGATTCTTGCTCTGATCTTCTGTCTCCTTCCTGACTCCGAGCCTCTATCGGACCGCTGGCTTCGCCGTTGTTGTGTGATAACTTGGGCAGAGTTGTATGAATTCGTTTTCCAGAGTCTGCGGGCGTGTAGAGGCAAGTCACCTCCCAGCCCCTAGTTCTTTGTGTCTGGTAATGTATCTGCTGCAAAAACAAATCACACATATTTGCATGAGTAAATCTTGTCGTTGTTGTTGCTGCCGCTGCGACCGTTTGTGCCGAGTTGTTGAGAAACGAGCAAGCGGAAACGATCGCTGCAGCCATTCTCCGATCGATCCGCTCTGCCATATGTTTGTTTTTGTTGTTAAAGTAATTTGCCATTCTATTTTTTCTCCCGGTTTTGGCGTTGGCTCTTGCACCGTCGCGTGTGCGAGCGAGGGAGGCTTTCGGTTGCCGCTTTGCTGGGGCCGTTGGTTGGTGGCGGCGGCATCATCGTGCGCTGCACCGCTGAGTGTTCGGTTGTTCCCTGACGCTGGACTGTGTGCGTGTAGAGTTTTGAGGCCGTGGGACAGAGGGGGGGGGATTAGGAGCATTTTTTTGAGGAGTGGTTGCCGCAGGTAAGCCCAGAGACACTGGGTTTTCTCATTCGTGTCGAGTGTCCGGGTGCGTGTGTGTACCTGCGCGCGCGTTTCAACGTATACGATGCGCGATTGTTCGTGGTGACAGTTTTGTCTGTGCGAGTGCGTGCGTGCCGCTCATGATTCAACGTATACGTTACGTGATTGTTCATGGTGACAGTTTTGTCTGTGCGAGTGCGTGTGTTTGTGCGCGCGTGTGTGTACGTGCGCCCGTGTGCGTGTCCCCGTGTGTGTGTGTGTATGCGTGCCCAGCAGGAGTACTCGGAGAGTGCAAAGCACGTGAATGCTTGTGCTGTTCTGTAATGCGTGAGTGGACCTTTTGATCAACACCCTTGAGCACTTTTGTCTTGCGTAAAGGGTCGACTTGGGTTCGCATCTGCACTTGGCCCTTACAGAAATATTTTCTGCACTCGAAAGCCTCTTTGCATGCATGCATACACACATTGACCTTCACACAGCCGCAAGCAATGACCCAACAAAGCATTCCGCAGGTACTTCTGATTGTAACCGCTAACGGTAGTAGCAAGCTCACGTAACAATTAACTCGTGCGGCAGGGATCTATCAGTCACGATTGGTGCTTCTGAATTATGTTTTTTGAACAATGCAATGTTGTTTTTCTTGCGTAGATTTTGTGTACAGTATTTGCGTTATTGCGTTGTTTTGTTTATTCCGTCGGATGCGTTCAAATTCATTGCCGCGCGGCGCGAGCCGGGAAAACGGTCGTTGCACGTTCGTTTTAAGTTGATTTCCGCGACTCCGTAACGACATTAACTGCTTTAAAATTGTGACGACGTGTGCGTCGTCATTCCAGCCTCAAACTCACAACAGCAAGTTCCGATGCGTGGGCAAAGAAACGAAACGATTTAAAATCACGGACAAACAACCAAACAAATGCCTGCCACCCAACTCCCCCCCCCCCCCCCCCATCGCTCCTGCTCCTGCCCACCGTCTTCTGCCGAGAGTCATCCTTTACGGATTTCTTGGATCTGACGTCAGCTCGCGTTGCCTCGCCCCTCAAGGGATGACGGTGCAATCGATCGAGGGCATCCGTGGCAAGGGGCTCCGCCGGACTCCGGCTTCGCGATCGCACAGAGTCACCGGCGCTGCTCCGCCGCCAAAGACCGCCCGGGAAGCCGACGCTGTTGCCGCTCGTTCGGAAACCCGTCCCAGCGCCAAAAGCCTGAATTTCACTGCGAGGCTCGGCGCCAGAAAACCTTGACCCCCCTCCTGGGGGTTGGGGGTCGGGGGAGGGGGCTTGCGTGGAGAGATGCCACCGTTCCCCAGCCCGCCGCTGTCAGGCGAAGGACAACCTATACTTGCCAACTCCAAAAACTACCCTGCTGTGAAATGCGAGATGAACCAAAAACACCCACCGGACAACAGTCTTCCCACTCGCCGCCCTCCTCCCCCTCCTCCCGCTACCTCTCAAGACAATTACAACGCAAATCCACGAACCCTCACGAGCAGGCGGTGTCTTCCTTCCACAGCTGTTCATTCTCATTGCTCCCTTCCCAAAAACAGTTTGGCAAACGACAAAACAAAAACTGCCGCAGCGAGGATATCAAAACGGCCGTGACCTCGGCGGCTGCTGCTCCGAGCGTGACGCCACCGCAGCCCACTCGGGCTCTGCGTCGATTGCGGCCAGAGAGGTCGCGTAGTGGCGGGCGGGCGGGCGCACGTTTGCCGGCCTGCGGCTTTTGCCGATGTTTCTCGGCGCACACGAGGTCGGGGCCACTCTGAGGGTGGTTGTCACGGTTGCGTGCGAGGTTATGAGGGTCCTCTCCTGCCTTTGCGTGGGTCAGGACACTTCAGAGTCGATTCAAAAGAAGTTGCGTCGGCCGTGCTCCGTGTTTTGTGCAAGGGTTGGTGGGCTTTCTGGAAAATCTTGATTCTAGTACATTGTGACTGGAGCGTCGCTCGAAAATTAATCGAGGCCTGCCCGCGGCGTGTTCCTGCGTGCCAACCGCAGCGATGCAAATAAGACGGTGTCCCTCTGCATGGTGGAAGAGAAGTCGGGCGGCCCAACCGTAGCCTCTAATCCAAGGTTTTGGCTCGCTAGCGTTCGTTGATAATTGTTTGCACTGTAGCCTCACTACCAACAGCGTCTTCTAATGTGCCGCATTTCGGTCGGTCGTTTGACACGAGCGATTTTAAGCGACGAAGTTTGTTGATGGTGGTGGTTTGGAAAGAAGGTCAGCAATAGCTCTAGGACTCCCAGGGCGTGGCACGGTTTGCATAACGGGAGATTATATATTTAGTTGTGAAAACACATTCGGTTTGAATTTTTGTGGTAGCGTCAGTTGCAAGTGACGTGGGCAGGAGTTGACGTGGCGTGGCCAGCGGGTGCTTTCCCACGCCAAAGCGGCGCTTGCGTCTTTACAAAGCTGAGATCTCTTTTTTTGTGTGTCACATGTGACGCGAGAGCCGTGGATTATTTAATTTCTGCTGCCGGAGCGGAGCGGGTGCTGCACGCATTGCGTGACGACGGCGTTCCTGTCTGGCGCTCGCTCGTCACGCCGCGTAAACAAGTGGCTCCTTCTCACGCGAGGCTGACCGCTCTTGCCCCCCCCCTCCGACTCCCTCAGCCATCACCCCCCCCCATCCCAAACAGATGTCTTCCCTAGCCCAGTCTTTCTGTGACGAGTGCCACTTCTGTTTTTGTTCGTGTTCTTTTCCCACCCAAGAGGCACAGTGAATTTCCATTGGCGTCGCTGCATGTGGGTGCAGAGGAAGTACCAAGACAGAACGATGCCAACCCCCCCCCAGCCCCCCCCCCCCAAATAATTAACTCGATGGCTGTGTAATTGGCACTTTTGGCTTCACTCTCACACTTCCCTGCCAACTCGCTCTTCTCTAGCCGAGTCTGTGCTCGGTCGTGCGTGAGCGGCCAGCTCAAAAAAACTCGTGGCCTCGAGAGTTGGGGCAAAAATCTTGCCCTGCCGGCCGCCCCCAAAGCTCACAGACTGTCCCGAGCGGTCGCGACGCACGGGGAAGTTTCAGGGCGGTCGCTGCCGGCAAAGTCGTCGCACCGTTTTTCTTTTTTTGTAAAATAAAAAGAATCAATCCAAGTCGACCAAATGTGCGCAAATATGGTCACTTGCTCCCCCTGGCGTAATTCTAGTGGACAACAGGTCATGGCAACGTCCAATCGGATCGCACGGCGGTCATGGCTGCCCAAGTCTGTGCGTCCCGTGGACCAATCGTTGCTCATCAGACTCGCTTGTTTTTAACCAACTCTCGTTTTCATTGGCCAGAGAGAACCACGTCACTCCAAGCTGTTACCACGGTGATGCCCGCCAATCCGGTTGCCCCTAAAACTGCCCCCCCCCCCCCCGGGTGCATTGCCGTGTTTTGAACACGGGAAGTGAGGAGAGCCGGTGCATGCAGCCAGCAGAGAGTTGTCGGGGTGCATCTCGGAGTCTCTTAGCAGCCGACCTTCACCCCGGGAGTCCAACCTCAACCCAAAGCTCATTTCTTTTGAACCGCTTTGTATTTCGTTTGTTGTCCTTATCCCTCCCCCTCCTCTCCACCGCCCGCACCTCCGATAGCACGGTTACATATGGTGCGAAAGAAGTTCAACATACATATGTACGAAGCATTGTGGTGGTTGGGGAGGGGGGTGCTAAAATAGACATTGTGCGGTTATTAAGAATGATTGGTTGGTATGGTCTTAGTGAAGTGGTGGCCAGACCCTGGGTTCAATCATCGCAATCGTAGTTTAGCGCCCTGAGAGCTGTTGTTTAAGGGCGCTTTATACATTCGTATTATTATTGTTAATTGCATGATATGTGATGGTTTGCGATTATAATTTCAGCTGACGGTGCTGCTGCTGCTGTGATTATGATTTTTGTCGATCACAGCTGCGAGCGTTGGCACTGGTTGGTGTAGATTTGTAACGATAGACAGCTCCCCTCAACCCCCCCCCATCACCACCGTGTGTTGCTTGATGAGTTGTCACAATTCGGGGCTCGTGATTCGATTCCACGGTTGAGTTTCGTTTCGTTAACGGCGGTCGCGATGGATGAAGCGACTCTCTTCATACCTGCGTCGGCCGCACGGGACGAACCGCATGCGACGTACGCACGAATCTGAAGGAATTGATTCTCGCACGTACGCGTCGCGAGCATCAGGATCTTATTGTGATTGCCGATTCGATGCCTCCTTGTTCAATCAGATGCCAATTTGACCTGGCACCACGTGAACCCAGCATAAGCAGCATTCACCGCTATTCATCCCGTCCTCCCCGCCTCTTGATTCACCGAATTGCAAAAGATGCGCGATGAGATTACGATTTTATCGTATTGTTTATAATTGTTTTGGTTTTTTTACATTCTCGGTACGGTGTTGGTGCGCTTGAGCGTCAGTGCGTGGCGATGTCACTCGCTTCAAGTTGTAAATAATCGATGGTCATTCGCGGGTTTCCGTGCAGGTATCCTGCGAGCGACAATCTTTTTTTTTAATCGGTACATTGTTACAGATGTGCTCCTCCAACAATATTACATTTACTGCCCCTGCGAGACCTGCACTTTTTCACGACTTAACACGCATTAGAACTGCCTGTGTACACGCGCAGCCGTTCTGTCACTCCACTGCTGGATGAGCGCCTCCCCACGCCGTGCGGGGTCGTGGTGGTAGTTTTACCGTACGTCACCGTGCTGGTCGGTGAAAGCAGGAAGCATAGCGGTACAGTACAGCAACAGATTTTGCCGCACCGCCCTTTGCTGCCCGGCACGTTGCGCTAACCGCTACCCGCACAGGTATCCGGGATGACGTCGTGTTGCTTTGATTGGCATTGGCACTCCCATCGATCTCCAACTGCACCGTGACCTTTTGGCCGAGCAGGAGAGTCCGCACTGAACCAGTGCTGCCCCCTAATGGTAAAGCCCTCCGCGCTCAAATGAAGACACGATGATAAAACGGAGCTCCGCCATAGATACGTAGCCAGGCTGTGTGCTTCCCTGGGCTCTCCGACATGCATGCACGAAGCTTGCTCGGTGAGCAAAAGGAGGCTTTCGATTGACGGTTCGGAGTTTTCAAATGACGTCACAGCCGTGTCGGTCCCGTACTTTGTAACGAAGCGTCGCAGCGGTGATGTCACATCGATGCTCCTGACCGTAGCAGCACGTGTCTGGGTCCGCCCACGAAATGCACACAGCCTAGGCATGTAGCTACAAGGTAGGAGCCGCTTGTTTTTCACGGGTTGTGCCGTCCTTTAAGCTCGTACACGGAGATGGGATGAAAGCAACTCGTGCGCGGGGGTCCGAGACGACGCATCGCTGCGTCGCGGGACTGTGAGATGCCGATGGCTTGGGGAAGCCTTAATCCAGCAGTGGGTTGACCCTGGTTGGTGGTGGTGGTAGTGGGGATGATGTTTAAGTGCTGCGATCCCAAAGGGGGATGGTCAGTGTTTTAATGACGTTCTTAAAACTTGCACCGACCTCATTGCTGGTTTGGCTTGAAAGTTGAGTTGGCGAAATCGAAAAGCTGTGCTAAAATGCAGTCGTGTGTATAATTACGATTGGGGGACGGTGCAATTGTTTAAGAGCTAACTGTTAAAACATTCGACCGCCCCTTCTGTGATGGTGTTGAATAGCAATAAGCGGAAGCGTGTAAATCGATGACTCTTTCCGTGCCGTTACTTTTCGTTTTTATACTTTGATAACAAAAGCAGTGAGCCGCGGTTCATATTTATTTTGACGCAAGCGTGCATGTCGGGCGCAGTGCAATTTTCCAGGCCATTCCAGACTCTTAAACTACACAATAAAAACGAGGTTGCCTTGAACAGGGGCGTGTGCGTAAGCGTGAGTTTTACCGTAAACGATCCGTCGCGGCGGCCTGTAAAGTGCGTGCGTAAAGTGCGTGCGTGCGTGTGTGTGTGCGTGTGCCAAGCGATCAGTGCTGACCTCTCTCCGCAGCTGGTAGCGCCCATGGCCTCCTTTGGCTCAGGCAGTCCTGCACTGTTCTGCTGGCCTGGTGCGCTGGGTATGTCCTTCGCATGATATGCTTCCCTCAAGTCGTCACAATGCCGTTTTGTTTACGTTACAACTCCCCCGCCGACAGTAGCCTCTCCCCCCCGCCCCCCGCCCCCCCCCTTATAATTCAGTTTTACTTAAAAAAAACACGCGCTAAGTAAATGCCACGTCACACACGTCACCACCCGCGCCGATGTCACCGCGTCGAGACTTAACCGCTTTTGTGCCCACCCTTTGACCCCCACCCCCCCCCCCATACAGCTACGCCGCAGCGCCGGGGCAGCGCGAGGCTCACGCGCTGCGCGCATCTGTGCCTTGCTCTGTGCGCTAGGCGTTTGTGGTGCGCCGGCTGCTGGAGTACACTCAGCAGGAGGCCGCCGACCTCACCTACGGCCTCATGCTCGTGGCCGCCATCTTCCTGTCGGAGCTGATACGCTCGTGGTCGCTGGCGCTAACGTGGGCGCTCAACTACCGCACGGGCTCGAGGCTGCGCGGCGCCACGCTGTCGCTCGCTTACGAGAAGGTGCTCAAGCTGCGGAGCCTGCGCGACAAGACGCAGGGGGAGGTGGGTTGACGCTCGCTCGCACGCGCGCTCGCATGGTCTACGGCCGGCGACAGAGCTGTGTCGTTCTCATGGCCGTTAGAAACTTCGACCCGAGCAATGACGGACGGTTGTTGGGATGGCATGGCGTGCAGCTGCTGGGGTATTGTCCTCTAAACATCTTCATGGCCATGTGAGGATGGCTCCTTGCTTCTGCCTCTCCGACTCCCTCGTCATCTCTTCTGTCCCACCGCTTGATGGAAGCGATTGTAAATTTAAGACTTAATTGACGGTGTTCAACTTGGGAAAGCTCACACTCTCCCGATTCATCGTCTACTTGAAATTTAAGTGCTTTATGGGGGGAGTAGTTACGGTCAGTTAACCCCGTGACATGACATCATGGGGTTAACAGCTTGGTTTTGCCGGCCTTCTAAGAGCGAGCGGGTGGGTCGTGTATCCAGAGTCGCATCAGCCCAGTAAGACTGTCGTGTTAAACCAGGCCGGGCCCACATTCCCTCTTGGCAAAATTGAGCCGGCCTGCTCTAAAGTAGCCTTGGCAACGTGGCAAGTCAGAAGGACGGGGGACAAGCCTTGACCTCGCCTTCAGTTTGACCCCGCAACCCCAGCTACCAACCTCTGTGCACCTTCACCCAGATCCCATCGTCCTGTTGCCCCGGGCGGTCGCAAGCCGGTCGACGCTGACGATCTCTGACCGTGCACGTGTGGGCGTGTGGACTTGTGCCCGCGTGTTTTTGCCCGCGCTTTTAAAACGATCCCCGCAGCTGATGAACATCTGCTCGACGGACGGACACCGCGTGTACGAGGCGGCGGCCGTGGGCAGCCTCCTTGCGGGGGGCCCGCTGGTGGCGCTGCTTGGCATGGTCTACACGCTCTTCATCCTCGGACCCACCGCCCTCTTCGGCTCGGCCGTCTTCATCCTCTTCTACCCCGGCATGGTGAGGAGCACTCCCCGCCCGTGTCTCCTCTTTCATCTCTTTGTTTTTCTCCCCCCCCATCTCACCCTCTATAGCCAAGCCTGGCACAGATCAAGAGGCGCGAGGTATTTTCCCCCCCCCCCCGCCGTGCCACTGACGTCGCCCCCAACGAACGATGGCGGTGCGCGGGTGCAGTGGTTGAACCCGGCGACCTTGGTTCGATTCCCGGCCACGATTAACGTCGGCGGCGAGTGGTTTCGAAACCGGTCCTAGGCCTACCGCGCCCTTTGCCAGTCGGCACTGACTGGCAGGGTGAAGAATTTGTCGAGCAAACCTGACGACGTGGGAAGGAGGCTTTCATCCATCAGTGGATTCATGAAGACTGGTTTATTTTCTTCCCCCAACTTTATTGGAACCAGGTGATGTGGGTGCCTTAAGGCAAAAAGAACAACACCCTTTTTAAGTCAAGGAAGACCTGGGCCACAAAAAAGCAATCTCGCACCCACGTAAACTTCGCCATTACTACATGAAAGATTAAACTGATAACAATAACATTTTCATCCGTTATGTTGAATTTCATTTTATTTGTAATCCTCGCCGTCGAGGCCTCGAAGTAGCGTTTGTTGTGAACTCGCGCTCGCGGGAAAAAAACCCCAACGCGTCTGCCGCAGATGTTCGTGTCCCGCCTCACGGCGTACTTCCGCAAGAAGTGCCTCGACGTGACGGACCGGCGCGTCCGTCTTATGAACGAGGTCCTCAATTGCATCAAGTTCATCAAGATGTACGCGTGGGAGAAGCCCTTTTCTCACAACATCTTGGGTAAGGCCTCGGCGGCACCGCCCCTCCGTGGCACCGCATCGCGCCACTGCGTCCGCCTTCCAGCCGAGAGGTTGTTTACGTTCGACCGCCTCGACTTGTTTCTCCCGCGTGGCGTCTTGAGACGTGGTCGCAATTGGATGCCGCTGCATAAACCCACGGCGCGTTGCGTAGACTCACGCGGAGACCCATGGATTTGCTTATTTAGTCAGATAATTACCTGGCTAACCTGAAAATAAATTCCCAATAATGGCGTTTGTTGCTGGTAGCTTTTTTTGTTTTGTTGGCCCATTGAGCCTGCGCTTAGCAACTTTGTTTAAAAAAAAATGACAAATAAATTCCGTGTGTCTTGTTTGTCCCGCGTGTCTGCCCGCAGCGGTGCGTGCAGAGGAGCGGCGCATCATGGAACGCGCGGGCTACGTGCAGAGCATCACGGTGGGCGTCGCGCCCATCGTGGTCGTCATAGCCAGCGTCGTCACCTTCTCCATGCACATGGTGCTGGGATACGACCTGGAGGCCTCGCAGGTGACGCCCCTTGCGCCCACCCCCCTTCCCACGCCAAATTCTCTCCCCGGAAACTCGGCCCTTCCAGACTGCGGTTCCCATCTGCACGCTCGAAAGCTTCGCCAGTGGCCGGGCCCAGTGGTGGGTGTTTAACGGGTGGGCATGTGGCGATGCGTGGAGTAAAATCGAGAGCTAAGGACGCCATCGTCGGTGCTTTCGTGCCGCTGGGATTCTGGGTTCGAATCCGGGTTTTCATCCGTCTTGTGTTTTTAAAGCGGGTTTTGTAGCGCTAGCGAGTTGATGCGTCCGTAATGTTGCGCTGAGACGTTGAGTAAACGCAGGGAACAGTTCCATGCACGTGCACGCGTTGCCTCTGTTGAATGCTGTTGTCTTTTTCTGCCTCGATTGTTAACGGCATCCTCTTTTCCGTTTATTCCCCAGGCTTTCACTGTGGTGACGGTGTTTAATGCCATGACCTTTGCCCTCAAAGTGACTCCGTTTTCAGTGAAGGCTCTCTCCGAGGCCTCTGTTGCGGTTGACCGCTTCCAGGTAAAGATGGCATGTGGTTTGCACCACTCAGTAAGACCCGTTCGCCGCGATGCACCTCCCCGAATCCTCGACACAACCTCACGGCTAGAATCCCCTGCTCATTGCCATCGTCAACCAATGTGTGTCCTCTACCGGGCCTCCACATGTCATCGACACCCCGCACGGTCTTATGATGAAATCTCACTTTTTATTAGCATGAGACGATTTCACCCCGTTTCCGCTGTTGCCATCCACTCGTGCACGTTATCACCTTCAACTCACGTGCCGTCGCTTGTTTTCTGCCCATCGTATCGTCATCCCTTCCAGCGACGTCTCCGGAGCTCCGAGCTAAATTACAGCTCCGTGTTTTGCGACGAACGTTACCGTTGCCAATTGGAGCGAACGTTTTATAATTAACGCCAGGATGATGAAATTGGAGAAGATTAGAAAAATAAAACGAATCTAACTCTGAAAGTTCCATGCGAGTGTAGTGCTCCGTGGCCACGGCTGAGCGGGCAAGCCGGTGTGGCACGGCTGAGCGAGAGTAGAGGTTCGTGGCTCGACCCCAGCGGCCGCCCTGTTTAATACTGCGTGTGTTTCTGTCGTAAATGTGCACCGTCCGCTTCTCACAGTGGCCGTTACCAGAGACCCCGTGACGTTCGGGAAGGCCTTCGGCCGTTGTGTGCCGGCGTTACGGGAAAACGTTCGTGACAAATTTAGAAATAACTCGAATTGCTGAAAGTGCAACATGGTTCCCTACACAGCTCATCTTAAATATCCTTGCCGCTATCAGAATTGCCCAAGCATCAAAATGACACTACCGTTATTATAACGCTGCGTGCGTTCCTACTTGTGTGTGCGCGTGCGCGCGCGCTCACGATGCACCGTGACCTCTCTGTGGCCCACCTTTTGCCGTGCCACAGAGCCTGCTGCTCATGGAGGATCTGCACGTAGCGCGAGCCAAGCCCAGCCGCCCCGGTCTCGCGCTGGAGCTGAAGAACGCCACGCTGGCCTGGGAGACGCTGACGGGCAGCACCCAGGCATCGCCGCGCGCTCGCTCGCCCGTGGTGCGTTCCAAATCGCGGCCCCCTACTCGGCACTCCCGTTGTGCTTGCATCAAACAAACAATTGCCTTTTTTTCCTTTCCCACGGTCCCTTGAGCACAGGCCCAGAGGGCCCAAAATGCCAAATGCGGCGGCAACAAACGGCACTGCCAAAGTTGTGTAATTGGGCAAGGTTAGTATCATTATTACAAGAGCTTTGGAAAAGATGACGGTGGGAGGGGGATTCCAAAATGGAGCGGTGTAAGGGAAGAAGTGGACCTGCAGTGTGGTGAATTAAGAGTGGGTTGGTGGGTGTGCGAGTGGGTTGGTGGATGTGTGAGTGGGTTGGTGGATGTGTGAGTGGGTTGGTGGGTGAGTCTATTGGTAGGTGGGTGAGTGAGTGAGTCTATTGGTAGGTGGGTGAGTGAGTGAGTCGATTGGTAGGTGGGTGAGTGAGCGGGTGAGTTGCTGTCTCGTAGCGCGAGGAGTCCCACCCGGGATTTAAACCACCCCCCCCCCGCCGCTTGCTCAGTTGCCGCCGCCATGGTCACGGCCGCCACCGTGTGGGTGTGACATGAGGGGGCTTTTGTCGTTAGCCTAAGGGGCGAGTGAAGGCCAAGGATGCCTCCCGTCGGGGCGCCGCCAAGAAGGTGGTGGCCGAGCGGCCGCCCCCAGCCGGGCCGCTCACCGAGCAGATCGGCCACCTCCTCGTGGACAGCCCCGACGAGGAGGACGAGACGCGAAGCATCTTCCGCAAGTCGCGGCTCCTCAAGGTGCTCCACAACATGGACCTCGCGGTGGAGAAGGTGAGCGGAGAGAGAGGAGAGGGAGCGGAAACTCGGGGGCACGCGCGCTCTCGTGTGTGTGCGCGTTCAACACGGCTTTCGTCACCAATATTATTCATGACACATTTTTTTTGTTTGGTTTAGAGCGCGTAAATATGAATGTGTCGTTAAACCCGCCACCACCGCCCGACACAGCCAATGAGTGAGGTTTGTCACGTAAAACAAAACTTGCCAGTTAGTTACTACTTCAGCACACCGGTGTGTTGGAGAGTAAACCTACGACATTTACCATTGTACATGTCGTGGGTTTACGATATAACTCAAAAACGTGTGTTTGCTCTTTGATCCGTGCCGTCCTGGGCCTGTCCTTCAGTGTTTATTCTAAGCGTGCACCCGCTCTAAGCTACTGCGCACACCCTCTGATTAATCGGCTCATCTTGGCGCTGTTCATTAATTTAGAGGTACCTGTCGGTCATTCCACTTCACAGCGGAAGAACTTAAAAGTATTGTTCACATGTTGAGCCGTTTGAAAAATATCGGCATGCGCCTCTCTACACCGCTTTGCACACTTGGCAACTTTTGCTCCGCGTTACCACCCGTGCGTAGGTTTCCTCGGTTGTGCCGTATGCGGCCCTCCGACGTGCATTGAGAACGACGCCCCGACGTTTCTTTGCACGTCCCGGGAATCTAGACCAGTTTCCCCGAACCGTTCGCAAGCGTGGGGCGGGGGGGGCGCGTTTAAATCCCGGGCGGGACTCTTCGCGCTCAGACACAGCAACTCACCCACTCGCTCAACTAATCGCTCACTCTCTCTCACCAACCAGCCCACTCACTCAACCAATCGCTCACTCACTCACCCACCCACCAACCCACCCACCCACTCACACACTCGCCCACCAACTCACTCACTCAGCCCACCAACCCACCCACTCACCCACCCACCCACCAACCCACTCACCAACCCACACACTCACCCACCCACTCACTCACCCACCCACTAATCCACTAACTTACCCATCCACCCACTAATCCACCAACCCTCTCGTTCTTCCGATCGACTACTGATGCTGCGCTTGCTTCCGCCGTGCCCTTGCCACCCCCCACCCTGCAGGGCAAGCTGCTGGGTATCTGTGGTTGCGTGGGCAGTGGAAAGACGTCCCTCATCTCTGCCGTCATGGGGCAGGTGAGACGGGGGTGCCTTTGGGTGCCGGGTCCTTCTCGCCTTTTGCTGTGCCCAGGGGTGCAGTTAACAGGATGTCTTGGCTTGTTCTCCTAAACTCTGCGGGTGTGCGGTGCGTTAGGGTCTCGGGTACAGCTCATCATCATTTTGGCCGCGTGCCCCTTTTTAGTAAATCACGGAGGTGAGTCCCGCGCCGACTTTAATTACCCTCCCGACTCCCCTTCCTCCTCCCCCCCTCCCTCCCCTCCACCACCACCACCACTGTTTAGCATCGCCTAGGTTGTGCCTAACAGTTCTGTCGTGGTGCGGTTTTGACAGTGGTACAGCCCAACACATCCTGTTAACTCATCCCCTGGCTTTACCCTCTGCTGCCGCCCCCACCGACACCATGAGTCCGATGCTCGCTCCTGTTTTGTGTGTGTGTGTGTGCTCCGTCGTGCTGATGCGAACGAAAACAGACTATGCCCTAGGGTCCTGTTTGAGGCTGTGGGGTACCCAGGATGTAGAGGGTGGGGTAGGTAGGATTAGCGAGGCTCGGGGGAGTAGGCCGGAGCTAGGGTCCTTGTACTAACATGCGTCCCCAGCGCAGGACTTCGCCACTCTCCCCGTTACCGTCTTCCCAAGGAATCGCCATGCGGTAAGGCGAACCCGTCTTCTAAGAGCATTATTTACTCGTTTGTTTTTGCAAGTGCATTTTATTGACTTGTCGATTTTTTCGCTGTGATGCTGTATTATTTACCTGCTGGATGTGGCCTCGTGGTTGCGAGCCAAGCTCCGGCTCTCGGCAACATCTGCGGGGTCTCTCCGCTCGGCCCGGCCTCCCCGAGTCTGGCGCTCCCGCTCCTTCCGCACGTCGTCGCCCTCGCACGATTTCCCCTGCTCCTCTCGTTTACGTGGGGTGGGGGGGGGCAATTGGAGGAACGCCCCTGGGGGGGGGGATGCCCCCTTCGCTCCCCCGCTACTTCTCGCCCCTCCCTCCCCCCCCCCCCACTTTTTAATTGGTGAATCGGCACGGCGCCTTGCCGAGCTCGATGGTAGTAGCGGCCGTGCCGATCGATGCACGGGTCGCGAGCCCACACGCTCCGGCCGACCGTGGTGTTTGTTGCTGGTGATGGAATTGAAAAACACCTCGCGGCGTAATATTCCCATCAAACGAAGCCCCGCATTCCGCTCGGGCTCACTCTGGCTTTTCGCCGGGGGAGTGACGCTTTTTGTCGTCATCCACCGTCTTGCGCTTCTCCATTTCCACAATCAAGAGATCCGAACCAACGACTTCCTTCCACCACCGCCTTCCTCTTTGCTTCCCCGCACTTGAATTCGCGAAGAGATCCATCACCTCCCCCCCCCCCCCGTGGCCTGGCGAGGCGGCGCAGCGAGCGTGCGGTTGGGTCGGTGCGAGACGGCGAAGTCCACGAGCGCGTCCACGGTAAACGCTCGGGCTACGGACACGCCGGGCGGGCCCGACACCCGTGCCAGCGAGGGCCCCCCCCCCCGCTCGCGGCGGCGGGGGGGGGGCTGCTGTGGCTGGAGGGCGCTCCGGCCTCGCGCGGCCGGTCCCTGGCCTTTGCGGCCACCGTGGCGCGCGGCCCGTGGAGTGGCTGAGGAGTGGCTCTGCTGTTGCTTTGAGGTCGGGGGCTGGCTCGTCCTGGGAGGAGCGGGGAGGCCCCGTCTCCCCGCCCGTCTCAGCCCGGGCCCGACGGGCTGTCTCTAGCAAGGCCTGGCTGCAACGGGCGAGCAGCCCAAATGCGCAGCCGTAGGGAGGAGCGCCAGCGTGTTTGAAAGGCTTCTGCGGTCTCTCGCTAGGGGTCCGCCCGTGCGCCGTTCACGGGGGTGTCGGCGCCCGTGCTGAAATTGCAGGCAGAATTTGCCGTACTCGCCCGCGCCGATTGGCTCGCGTGGTAACTGTCGACGTTATCTTCGTAAATGTTTTGGTGGAACTCGACGTTGCAAGAGAAAAAGGTTTTCGAGATGTCAATCCACCGACGTGTAGTAAAAACAAAACCGGTGTCACCTCACCCGGACAAGTAGAAATATGATGTCATGGACACGCCCGTTTTTTGGGAGAACCCCATCTTGTGTTTGACATCGGGCACAAAGCTACCCAAAGCGAGCATTCGCAACCGTAGCCACGTTTTAATGAGGAAATCTTAACACCCAGCTGAGTAGCGATGGAGACCGAAATTGGTTCAAATTTAAAGCCGAAACGCTGCGCTGCTCTTCACTGGTGCTACAGGTGATGTGTCCAAGCGAACGATCAAATTGATAAAACAGTAACCGCAGCCTCATTGCTCAGTCCACTGCGTGGGTCGGCACAGGCCTACCGACGTCTTGCTACCCTCGGCACGATCCACACACGGTGCCCAGCTCCCGCACCGTAGGGCGGTCGGAGCTCGCGCACGGCCTCGACGCCGCCGTGCACAGTTTTACGTTTTTGGCTGGGTGACGACTTGTGGCCGGCGAACCCCACGGGACACCTGTACCGCCAGAGCCAGCCGCCGCCGGCCGACCGGCCGAGCTGCCGTTGACGCAAAGCAAAAGAAAAGGGAGAAAGCCTTGCTAGACACAGCCCTGCGGGCCGGGATTGCCGAGCAAAGCCAACCCTGACGCGTCTTGTCTCCCTACCAGGCCTTCTCTCCCTAGTAGCACAGCAGCGGGTGTGCTAGAGGAGCCAACAGTGCCTACGGGTTTGTAGGTATAGAACGATTTCCACCGCACCTCCCCCCGTCTGCCCCTACCCGTCCTCCTTCCCGCCCGCTCGCCTTCAAGGGGTTTCTGTTCGGCACAGGGGGGAGGGGGGGAGGGTGGGTGTGTGGGGGGAGTTCCTTAGGTCAGCGGTTCCCAAGCTCCGCATCTTGCGTGGCCCATGCTGCGGCGAAGTGAGCGGCCGGGTTTAACCGGTGCGTTGCTTTGCCGTGACGTCGGAAGGTTTTAGCGCCGACGATTGTGCCTTCCCCTGCCGCCTCCCGGCAGAACGCCAAAGGTAACCGGACAAAGTTGTTGTATTTGAAGGAGGTTTGGGAACCACTGGCTTAAGGGGAAAGTAGCTTGTGGGGTCAGGGGTTGGGTCAGGGGCTGTGTTAGGAGCTGGGGTTTAGGGTTTTGGTTTATGGCGGGCTTACTTTTTATTGGGTAAAAGGGTGCGAGTGAATGACAGGGTTAGGGCCTATTGCTGTTTTTCTATCGATTAATTATTTATGCAGAATTATACGGAATTCACGAATGCGTAATATTTACATATATCCCGACAGAAACGATAGCGTTTTTTTCAGGTTGTAGAGAATTACGAATGACAGTGATAATTATAAAAAGAGAAAAAAAGCCTCTTGTAATGATACGGCACATGGCCTATCGTGTCGACGAGCCGTCAGCAGCCAGCCATGCGCGATGGGCGATGCTCGCTGCGGTGGCCGGCTGTGGCGGCTCTGTGTGTGTGTGCGCGTGAGAAGACACTGCGTGTGTGCGTGTGTGCGTGTGCGCAAGGAGCGTGTGGGGCTGTGCGAACGACTGAGCGAGAGCGCCTGGCAGTGCGCGTGTGCGAGAGAGCGCGTGCGCGCGAGAGCGAGCGAGAGCGAGCGAGAGCGAGCGAGTGCGAGAGAGCGCGAGCGAGTGTGCGTGCGTGTCGGCGTGCCCCTGCTGACGCGAGTGGCGCGTGTGTGCGTGCAGATGACCCTGCTGGAGGGCAGCGTGGCGGTAAGCGGGACCCTGGCGTACGTGGCACAGCAGGCCTGGATCCTCAACACCACCGTTCGCGACAACATCCTCTTCGGCAAGGTCTACAACGAGGAGAGGTGGGCGCCGGCCACGGACACCCCCTGACCCGCCCCGGCTCCACGGCGGCCTCATTTTTTTGTTTTGTTTTTGACAACCAAACACGAGCCCAATACAACACGCCGTACAATTCCGTTGATGGGGTACAGAGGAATCAACGGTTAATCCATTCCGTCGCGATGGAACCGTACGGAAGGGTGCTCGCTTTAGGGTGGCGGGTAGGGGAGAAATAACCAGCATGCTATGGAGAAAATCTAGGTATGGGGAGGAGGGAGGGAAAGGAGGGGGGGGGGAGGAGGGGGCCGCTCTGTCGCTTTTAAAGACTCGCCATGAGCGGTTCAGCCGTGGCTCAGTTCGAGCCGGACTCACGGAAATCCTGAGCACGGCTGGGACCATTGCTCGGAGCTGGCTCGAGTTCAGAATGTCTTTGAGCCTCCTCACTTGAGCCAGAGCCAAGCCTGAGCCATGACTAAGAAATATGAGCTTTGGTCTCTAATCATCATTATCGTTAGCCACGTCTTAACTACTGCCATGTGAAGGCCTCTCCAAGCCGTTGCCATCTCTTAACAGATTCTTAACACGAGCCGATGGCAAAATCTTGTCTGTCTGGTACCTGTACGTCTCGGGCGCGATCCCTCCTTAGCTGCTACTCTGTCGTTGAGCTCGACCACCGGCCGTCACCCCGACGCGTCTTGCGCCAGCATCTCAAGGCGCTGTACAGACACCGTGGGCGTGTTTGTTTTATCGAGAGAAACAGGCTCGCACTCGTCGTGCCTAGGTGTGTACCTGCGTGGGTGGTCCAGATTCTTGGTTCTTTCGGTAAAGTCACGTAGATAGGTTAAAAGAAAATAAAAAAGAACTACGACGTTTCTATCGCAACACAAGCGGTCGTCTTCAAGAAAAGGGGGGTTAGCTTCCAAGGCAAACTGTTTAAAAGGGTTTGAAATGGGTGATCCATGTTCATCAAAATCCGTTTTGTCATTGACATCGTTTCTTCTTGAATTGCGCATAGCTGTGCAATTATAGCCTCACAGGAGGATTTTTTAGGGGTCATTACCGCGGCGCTTGAGGAAGGGCCACCGGAATGGGTATGCCTGTGTGTGTTCACCTGCGTGTGTGTTTTCACCTGCCTGTGTGTGTTCACCTGCGTGTGTGTGTGCACGCCCCCGTGCGTGCAGGTACAACATGGTGCTGGAGGCTTGCTGCTTGCGCATCGACCTGGCCATGCTGCCGTACGGAGACATGACAGAGGTGAGAGGGGACCCCGCCGCCCCCACCCCGCTCGCACGCCAAACGACGACGACCCCTTCCCCCCCCCCCCCGTTATCACGCGCGCTCTGGTCGTGACGACTGTGAGATGGACGCGACCGTAGCGAGAGCTGTCGCAACTCGTGCGCAGCGGTCCGCGACACCGGCGCGAGACTCGGCCGCCCATCGCTCGCGCTTGGCCAGCGCGCTCCCGTTGGCGCTCGACCTTCTGGTGAGGCCACGTGGTGAGCCGAGACCAGATTTGTGTCGTTAAGAACCCTCAGTCACCCTTCCCTCTTTCCATTTACATTTTCAGCTTCCCCCCCCTTCCCCATCGTGATGGCCTCACTTGGTGCAGTGGGCCTCCCCCGTTTTTCCCTCACCCCTTATAGACGGCACAGATACGTCGGGACCGGTTCCCCGCGGCCGGGCTGTAACGGGCCGGCGCTTGCGTGTTGAGTTTAAAATGTCAGCTGTTGAGCTTGCGCCGGTACCGGCACCGGCGGTAATCCTGCGCGCTCGTGTGTGTGCGATGGATGGTGCCCGCAGATCGGAGAGCGAGGAGCGAATTTGAGCGGCGGGCAGCGCCAGCGCATCAGCCTGGCGCGGGCGCTGTACAGCGACCGCAGCATCTACCTCCTGGACGACCCGCTGAGCGCCGTCGACAACCACGTGGGGGCGCACCTCTTCACGCACGCCATCCGCACCGGCATGCGCGGCAAGACGGTGATGTTCGTCACGCACCAGCTGCAGGTGAGGGCGCCGGCTCGCCACCGAAGATGGCTTGGATTAACCGAGGCCCGGCTGTGTGCGCGTGTTTGGTGATTTATTTGTGGCATGTGTGTGTAGTGGCTGAGCGGTAATACAGCGCTGTGCTACGAACCCAGTGACGATTATCTGAACTGGTCTTGGGCCTTGCCTAGCTTCGACTCGGCCTCGAATGAGTACCTGGCGAGGTGTGTAAACATCGCTGCTAGGAAGAGAAAGGTGCCCGGGCAGTGGTGTTGGCCACCCCCGCTCGTGTGGTGTGCCAGCCGATGTGCTCATTAACAGAACTTGTTAAGGCTATATGGGGGAATCGTTGTCCTTGTATGTGTAGCGCACACACAAGGGTTGGGTAAATGGTGTGTTGCGTGCGTATTCGCGTGTGAGGTGTTTACGGCTTGAGCTCTTTAGTTCCACGTCCCTTCGGTTCGCGGTGTCTGCGGAAGTCGTCTAATTCCCGTTGTAATTGCGTGCGCGCTCGCACAGTACCTGGCGGAGTGCGACGTGGTGCTGTTCATGCGCGACGGCTGCATGGCGGAGTGGGGCACGCACGCCGAGCTCATGAACAACAGCGGAGACTACGCGGCGCTCTTCCACTCGGCAAACGAGGGCTCCCACTACAAGGTACGCGCGCATGCGCGGGACGTGCGCACACATGCGCGTGCTCCCCCACGGCAATGCACGTACCCGGAATATTTATTCATGCCGGAGGAATCCAAAGGATCTTTGCCTTTGGGGGCTGTGACATGGCCAAGAGTTTGCCGTTTGTCGCTGCAGAAGTTGGCGGTTTCACTCTGGCAGGCCACCCTGATTAATACCGCAGGCGTTTTTAGCGGGAATTGACGCGCCGTGTGCTTGTCGCTGAACGTAAACAAATCCCCTGACATCGTTGCGAACGGAGTAGGCCATTGTGTGCCCTGCGTCACTGTCCAAATTGGCTACGTTTAAAAAATGACACCGCAAGTTTTCTCAGCGCAGGCAACACTCTTAAGCATGGCGCAAATATGAAATGTTCTAAACTATGACTATGAAAAATAAGAATAGGTTTTACACTGTCTGGCAATACAGCAGGTGTTAAGATGTTCAAACGCCAAATAGAAACCTTTTGCAAGAGATGAAGTCTGCATTAACCACACGTCCTTGTGGTGAATTTGCAAATACAACATGCTCTGATAACATTTGCATTGTCTTTGAAACTGATTTGCCTAGTCAAGTTCAAGTTCATGTATTAGGTATAGCCCTGTGAGCCATTCGGCTCTTGAATCGGGTGCAACCGCAACAAACAAAAAACAAAAACATGAACAAGAAAACATCTTAAAGTTAATATGTGACTAAGTGCAAACAGAAAATCCAAGAAAAGACAGCAAAATGTTGCCAGTGTCAGACCAGAGAACACCAAAAGGCGATCCGTACAAAGACATTGCACATTTCAGAGCATTTAGCTCGTGGGGTGAGCAGCTATGAACACTTATTTTTCACACTTTGATACTGTCAAAAAAGGTCCTATCATAAACTCAGCCTGTGATGATGACGACGTCGTCGATGCTGCGTGGACGGGGTTGTTGGGAGCGCTTCGTGACCACGGCCCCTCTGCCCCTTGCCAGCTCGACGAGAAGCAGAGCGCGCGGCAGTCGGTGAAGAAGCCGGCCGAGAAGAAGAAGCTGAAGAACAAGCAGCTGGTGGCCATGGCCACGGAGGAGGACGACGCCCCGGCCGTCAGCAAGGAGGAGAAGGAGGTGGAAGAGGAGGAGGAAGAGGGGCAGCTGATGACGGCCGAGGAGAAGGGCCACGGCTCTGTGCCGTGGTCGGTGTACGCGGTGTACATCGGCGCCGCCGGGGGGCCCTGCGCCTTCATCGCCATCCTCTCGCTCTTCATTTTCACCGTGGGAAGCACGGCCTTCAGCAACTGGTGGCTCAGCTACTGGATCAAGCAGGGCAGCGGGGTGAGTCGCCAATGCCGCCGACGTCGTCGTAATGTGTCGTCGCGACTTCCTCGTCGGCCGCGATCTGTCCGCTGTTGGCCTTCCCCCCCCCCCCAAGGCGGGCCGTCGTCTCGAGCGGCTGCGCGATGCGACGGTCCGTTGAGCTGACGCGCCGCGATATTATTTCGTAGCTCCATCTTCTCCAGTGGAGATCTCATCCGGCGTGCTCGCTCCTTTGGGTGCCACACAGTCGTCGATTTCACCGCTCCTTTTCTGCAGTGGATGTCTGTGGTCGGGCGTTGCTCTCTCCTTTGACCTTGACCGCCAGCCCGTCATCGCTTCATGCAACGTGCCCTACTACCCAAGCCCACTTTTATTCCCAACGTGATTTTTAATATTATTAATATTCTCGAATCTACGTCTTCCAACATCTTGGTCTCAGTGGAATTTCAATCGCTCCCACCTCCCTCCACCTCCCCACCCCCACCGCGATCGTTGTTCAGAACTGGTCGACGTGGAGCGCCAACGACACGCTGCTGAGCGGCATGGGAAGCATGAAGGACAACCGCGACATGCACTTCTACGCCGGCGTGTACGCGCTCTCCATGGTGGCCATGCTGTTCCTGAAGGCTGTGCGCGGGATCGCCTTTGTGAAGGTAGCGGAGAGTCGCTCTGCCCGCGTGCTACGTGCGTGTGTGCGCGTGCTACGTGCGTGTGTGCGTGTGTGCGCGCGTGCGCATGTGTTTCAATGTCTGTGGGGAGCTGTGTTACGAACCCAGCTACGACCCGAGTTTGATTCCCGCCACGACCGCCAACCGCAGCGACTATTATCTGAACTGGTCCTGGGCGTCCCCTAGATCGACTCGGCTGTAAATTAGTACCTGGTGCGATGTATAAATAATGGAACTCGTGCGTGCTGCTGGCCACTCCATCGCCTCTTGTGCCGTATTGGCCTTCATAGTTGCTCGCTTACAGCACTTGTCTGTTAAGGCTGTATGGGGAATCTTTGTCTTTGTTGCACATGTGCGGTCTGTGTGGTGCAGTTGGTGGGGTGTGTGTGTGGTCGACATGTGTGTGCGTTGCAAGTGTCATATGTGTTGCGCACATGTTTGGGTATTGTACGTTTGTGTGTGGTGTGGCGAGTGTATATTGCACATGCGCGTTGTTTGTGTGTGTGCGCAATCATGGGCGCGACTAACCCCGGGGCCCTCGCTGCCGCTGCACGCGTCTGCAGGGCACGCTGCGCGCCTCGTCACGCCTCCACGACTCGCTCTTCCTGAAGGTGCTGCGCAGCTCCATGACGGTGTTCGACACCACGCCGACCGGGCGCCTGCTCAACCGCTTCTCCCGCGACATGGACGAGGGTGAGCGACGCCGCAGCCACCGCCGTAGCCACCACCGTAGTTGCCGCCGCCCGCGACGCAGACGACGCGTCGTCGTCGGGCACTCCACGTAGAAGTAGACGGCGGCAGGGTGGCGCAGCGGTGCCGCTCACGCCGCACGGCCTGCGTTCGATTACCAACTCGGGGCGCTCTGGAGTCTGTCCCACCCCTCAACTCTCTCCCCCCGGCTCTGCATGAGTTTCTTTTGGGTTTTCTGGTTTGCTCCCGTAGCTACAAAAAAACCCAACAACACGCAATGTAGTAACTGGTATTGGCCAAATATCCGGATGGACGCCCCCGTGAGTCGTGCGGTGCCCAAAGCTCAACCCCGTGGCCTCACTGAAGTTCCACACGTAGGATTACGAGTGGCCGGGAAAACATTTCGCGTGTAATCGCAGCACGTAAGTCTCTGACTCTCGTGGTGCCTGCGTGCGTGTTCACAGTGGACGTGCGCATGCCCTTTCAAGCGGAGCTCTTCATCCAGAACGTCATCCTGGTGCTCTTCTGCCTGGGCGTCATCGCCGCCGTCTTTCCCTGGTTCCTCCTCGCCGTGATCCCGCTCTGCGTCCTCTTCCTCATCATCAATAAGATCTCGCGGTGAGCTGCGGGCGGTTGTGAACGACGTGGCTGCGTCAGGTCTAACGTTTAGTAACGCCCCCGGTGCGTGTGTACATTGTGGTCTGTGAGAAAAGTTAGTTCACTCGGGCAGCACGAGTCGCGGCTATACGAGACGGTGGCCGGTGGGTGACACTTAACGATGGACGTGTCTTGAGAAGGGGTCGTTTGCCGCGGAGATGAAGCGATCAAATCGGCTCTTTGCAAGTGCTGGGTGAATTGTTACATGGCAGGACCTTGAGGTGGCTGGGGTGTGGGGTTGGTGACCGTCATTCACCTGACCAAAAAATCGGCCAAAATTTCCCTTGGTGAAGATGGGTCTTTTTTTTTCTCTCAATGGTGTAACGTGCAACGGTGTTCTTGGGCGAGGCACAGAGAGAGTGGGGGATTGCAGGCCATCCATCCGTTGCAGGCAACTCGCGACAACCGTGGACGCGGCCTGCAAATCCCTCGCGTGAAACAACCTTAACAGGCCGAGCGGTGCGGTGTTGCACGATGCGCGTTGCCGCCGGGTGTCGCGGCTAAGGCGGCGCGCGGTTCGCCTGTGTCCCGTCAGGGTGTTCATCCGCGAGCTCAAGCGTCTGGACAACATCAGCCACTCGCCGTTCATGTCGCACGTGGCCGCGAGCCTGCAGGGCCTGCCCACGATCCACGCCTACAGCAAGTCCGACGAGTTCCTGCACAGGTTCGTTTATGACAGAGTCCTGTCTCCCCTGTGTTGTGATGGGCAGGTTCTATGCCAGCTCGGTTTGTGTGATTTTTCCGCCGTACAAAACTCGCTCTACTATGCAGTGTGAATTCACTCGGATGCCGCTATGCGGTCGGATGTAGGACAACATTGTGTACTGTTTGCGCTACTCGGCAGGTAGCCATCTCACACGCAGACACACACAAACGGAGAATCTTCATCTTTGTGTGCGCAGGTACCAGGAGCTGCTGGACACGAACCAGGCGTGCCTCTTCCTGTTCAGCTGCGCGGTGCGCTGGCTGGCGGTGAGGCTCGACATCATCAGTGTCGCGCTCATCACCACCACGGCGCTCATGATGGTGCTCATGCACGGGCAGATCCCCGCCGCCTACGCGGGGCTCGCCATCTCCTACGCCATACAGGTGTGGGGCGGGCGGCCGGGGGGGCGGCGTGGGGAGCGGGGGGCGGGGAAGGGGGCCGTTCGGAGACTGGGTGGCGACGGGTCACGCGCGGTGGCGCGTGTCGTTGTTGGTGGTGCGGTGGTTGAGGGGCTCTGCTCTGTGAACCCGGAGACCCGAGGTTCAATTCTCGCTCGCGGCCGATGTGAAGTGATAGTGTGGCCGGGCGTGGTTCCGGCCACACCACACACCCCCTTGTGTGTGGTGTTGGCCTTCATAGGTGCCCACTAACAGCATTTGCCTCAACGACCTGTTACGGCTGTACCGGGCGGGGGGGTTCTTTGTCTGCGTGTCGTTACGCCACGCATAACACCTGGGTCTGTTCCGACACCACCTGCCTTTGTTACCTCACATAGCCTCCGAGCGCACATCACCGGCACTTAAGTGGCACTTGGCTGCGGCTGTTGTCCACCTGTGGTCTGCTCGTGTGTGCGTGACGATGTTTGTGTTGACGAGCAGCACCCACCACGCTTGGCTCGCCAACAGCACTTGCCCGCAACAGTGTGAGGTCGTCCAGGGGATCTTTGTTTTTTGTTGCAACGTGGTCTGTGTCATGGGGTTTGTTTTCAACGGGGCGAGCGTCTCGATGCAATCCACCTGACGGCGTCCCCCGTTGTCCGTGTGAAACCCCCGCAGCTGACGGGAACGTTCCAGTTCACGATCCGCCTGGCGTCCGAGACGGAGGCTCGCTTCACTTCGGTGGAAAGAATCCAACACTACATCGAGGTGGGGGGCACGTAATGGGTGTGGGGCATCCTGTTTGGCGAGGGTGTGACACCTGTGTAATACGTGTATTGTACGCGCAGACGTGTGATTAATGTGCAGTGTGTTTGTGGTCCTGGGAAATTCTTAGGTGTAATATATTTAGTGTGTGTACGATTTGGTAGTGTCTGCGTGGCGTGTGTGTACCATGTGTAGTGTGTGTACCATGTGTGTGTATGTGCGTGTCGTGTGCCGCGTGTTGCTCGTGTGAATCTCTGCTTCACCGTCGTCGTCGTCACCGTCTCCCATGCTGCTCTCGCTCCGCGCAGGCTCTGGAGGAGGAGGCCCCAGACCACGTCCCCGAGAAGCCCCTGGCCGCCGAGTGGCCGCAGCACGGCTCGGTCTCCTTCCAGGACGTGGAGATGCGCTACCGCGAGGGCCTGCCGCTCGTGCTCAAGCGCGTCACCGCCAACATCAAACCGCGAGAGAACGTCGGCATCGTGGGGCGCACGGGCTCCGGTTCGTCACACGCGCACGTACACAGACACGCACACACACGCGAATGCACACACACGAACGCGCGCACACACGGACATACACAAAGATCCCCCGTATAGCCTGAACAGACTGTAGGGGAAAGTGCTGTTCGCGAGCACCTATGAAGGCCGGCACAAGTAAACAAACTAAAACTAAACTTTTTATTTTACTAGGTAAGGCCCAACATCAAGTAAAATGCATTTCCTGTTTCAAAAGTTGGCTCGGACACGTGACATTTCAAATCCATTCCAAGTCTACGTAAACAAACATAAAAGTTGTGGCGGCTATAGCACACGTATATAAACAGACGAGGATGCACGTCTGATTCAATCATCGTCCTTCGATCGTGGAAACTTTGCCGAGTCTCCCCTAACGAGCGTCGCACGCTCTTGGCGGTGCCGCCCTCTCGCGTGCCGCCCTCTCACCGCCGCGTGCCGTGCGCGTGCGATGCAGGCAAGTCGTCGCTGGGCGTGTGTCTCTTCCGCCTCGTGGAGCTTTGCGGCGGCTCCATCTCCATCGACGGCGTTCCCATCGGCGACATCGGCCTCGGCGACCTCCGCTCCCGCCTCTCCATCATCCCCCAGGAGCCCGTGCTCTTCATCGGGACCATTCGGTACGAGCCTCGCGCTAAGCGACCTTGGCCGGGCCCGTTCGGAGGATGCAGGAGAGACACTGAACTGGCACCGCTGACATCCTGCCGTTCTGAATTCGGCTTTCAGCCGGACAGCCGTGATAATAATTGTTATCAGTTGTATAACGACAATGCTGGTTTACCCAGGAAAGCCTTGCAAAGTCTCGAGAGATTTTTTTTCAGGAGGGTCCTGCCAAGTGTTTTGTGGTTGGGGGGGGGGCGATCTTTGTGCTGTTGTGTGTGATCCCATGAGGATAATTTTTCAGAGTTTTATTTTTGTTACGGGATAACGACAATTTCTCCGACTTCCTCATAAAAATGTGGAGGCGGTCCCGTTGATTGGTGCCCTTTGCTTTTCAGCACAAACCTGGACCCCCTGGGGCAGTACACGGACGAGCAGATCTGGGAGGCCCTGGAACGCACGCACATGAAGGACAACGTGAGTCGCCCAACTTGACCGTCGCTCGACCCAACGCTTGCCCGTTGTCGTCTGCGCCGTCACCACGTCCTTGTTCGTCCTGCGTCCCGTGTCCAGTTTGGGTTTTTGTGGGAGGTGGCCGGGGGTGGCTCGGAGGTCAGAGCTACGAGTTGCTTGCCAAGACAAAGCCACGGCGGAGGCTGGAACCGGCGTGTGCGTACGTGCGTGCGCGTGTGTGTGTGAGAGGGTGGTAGTTGCAGCGGGTTTGCACAGCGGCTAGCGTGCTGTGCCTGAGTTCGATTCCCGCTCACGGCCAACACCGGTGACGATTTTCTGAACCGTTCCTGGGCCTCCTGTAGGTCAACTCGGCCTCGGATGAGAACCTGGTGCGGTGTGTAAACATCGCCGCTAGGGAGACAAAGGCGGCCGGGCGTGGTGCTGGCCACCCACACCCCCTCGTGTGCTGTTCCGGCCTTCATAGGTGCTACTCGTTTACAGCACTTGCCCCAAATGTCTATTGAGGCCGTTGTCGGCGTGCGTGCGTGCGAGCAGATAGGACAACTCCCGCAGAAACTCGAGACGGAGGTGATGGAGAACGGAGAGAACTTCTCGGTGGGCGAGCGGCAGCTCATGTGCGTCGCACGCGCCATCCTGCGACATAGCAAGGTGCGATGGCGGCAAACACGCTCACCGCACCCACCGGGTGGACTGCCTTTTCAAGAGTCTCGGCGGGGGGGGGGGGCATCCAGGGATCGTCGATTGGGTCGGCCACTGCTCCACCACCCCCGAGCAATCCGATTTCACTGTGTAACAAAAATAGTTTTTTTGTCCCTGGGTTAGTAAGTGTTATTTCCTAATTGCTTACGCCTCAAAAGTACAGAATTGCTGTTATTCCCCACAAACTTTGCTTTTGTGACCAGGACAGTGGTATTTTGAAATGTACCTATTTTCAATGAGAAAACGTGACGTGCATTTGTGTCATTCCTTCACGTAAAGTCCTGGTCACAAAAGTAAAGTTTGTGGGGAATAACAGCCATTTTCTATACTTTTTAGCCATAAGCAATTAGGAAATAACACTACCCAAAAATTGTGCTACATAGTGTTATTGGTTCAATACCTCCATTCATCCAGAGAATGAGACTAGTTGGGGCGGGGGGGAGAGGAGGAGTGTCGACTCCATCCCCACCACACGTGCTGCTGCTTGGGAGGTGGTAACTGAGGCCTGGTGACATCATCGGTGTCATTGGCCGTAAGGGGGGGGGGGTTTCTCACCTTCAGCCGATTACAATTTAAACGTCGTGATTTATTTTATTTTATACCTACGTGTCTTTACCGAAAGAACCAGAGTATGGATTCCTGCAGTCATGAAAGCTTCAAATCAAGATTGATTACAATTTAATCGGCCGCTCTTCCCCGGCTGCAGTTGAAATTGGTATTAAGTGCCATTTAACCCCCCCCCCGCCCGTACCACCGCTCTGTCTCCATGGTGACAGATTCTACTGCTGGATGAGGCCACGGCGGCAATCGACACGGAGACCGACACGCTGATCCAGGAGACGATCCGTCGCGCGTTCGGGGACTGCACGATGCTCACCATCGCCCACCGACTCAACACCGTGCTGTCCTGCGACCGCATCATGGTCATGGACCAGGGACAGGCACGTTGGGCCACGGGGCCAGCGCACACGCAGGCCGCACCCGAGACGAAGATGATGGCGACAGTCTAATAATGATTTCGACTTGTGACGTGCCGCTCAGTTTTCGCTCGCGCTGAAGGCAACTCGGAGGCGCAAGGTACCACAGGCGAGCGGTTAAGGCGGCCGCGCGATAAGCCAGTGCCAACAGTTGCCCAAGCTCTGCGGTCGTCTGCTTATTAAGGTGTTACAGGTCAATTAATGAGCGGTTTTTGTTAAAATGTGGGAGGAAACTGGGAAGCACCCAGAGGAAACCCATGTGCGTAGCGAGGGGGAAACACTCTATCCCACAGACGGAGCAGGTGGAGCCCACGTTTTTGCTGCGCTGCCTTGTCCTGGAAAGCCAGGGGCACAGCACCTCCTCGTCGCCGACGGGGGAAGGGAGTTTTAACAACAGTCGCACGATCCAACAACACTCTCTGACCCAAAAGTACTGGATGGCAGTCCAGCGCCACCACCACCACCGCATCTATGTAACGCGCGATTTCTCTCCCTCACCACCTCTCCGCCGACCCTAGGTAGTGGAGTTCGACTCGCCGTCCACGCTGCTGGAAAACCGAGCGTCGCGCTTCGCGGCCATGATGGTGGCGGGGGAGGGTCAGGTGACGCGCTCCCTGGGGAGCGGGTGAGGCCCTCCTAGGACCCCGTCCCCCGGGGCCCCCCACCTCAAGGGTGTCCACCCGCCCCCCCTACGGGGCAGCGGCAGCAGCAGCAGGCGCGTGCCACGGAGGCACCGAGGACCAGCTGCACCACGGCCGCTCACGAGCACAGCCGCTCCTGCCCGGCTTTGTCACAAGGCAGCCGCCCCCCTCCCCCCCAACCCCCTCCACTCCGCACCGCCCAAGCTGCTGGGGGGCTGCCCGTGGAACGCTTGGCGGTGCCGCTTGCCGTCTCCACGTAGTCGTTCTGTTAGCCGTGTGTCCGGACGCAAAAAAAGTATGAAGATGATGCTGTTGTGAAAATACTACTACTACTATCGCTTGTAGGTTCCGCGCAAAACGACCGTGCAGAAGGGTGTTTTTTTTTTTTTACACACACACAAAAAAACCTCTGCGTTGCCTTTCAGCGGTCAGCAGGTACCGGACGCTCGTGTGAGCGCCCGCACACTTCCAGTACGAGTGCCGCGCAGCGGTGCCGTTTGGCGTATTTAACGACCCGTCGCGCAAGCGTGCGCGCGTGCTTCAGCGTTGCAGCGCGTGTCGGATCACTGTCTCCTGAGCTGCGAGCGTCGCGGTCCCTGTGCCCTGCAGTGCAGAGGCACGTGCGGCCAGACGAGAGAAGTCTGCAATAGTCCGCCGCAGCTTGACACTTACTACAAACTGACGTAATAAATATACGCGTACGACGGTGCTTTGTTCGAAGGCCTCTGGGACTCTGTGTGATCCGTAGAGCCGTGTTAGATGTTACTCGTAGCCTAGCTTTCCCCCCCCCCCCCCACCACGAGGGGATGGGGGGGGGCGGCCCCCGGAGCCTTGGGGCCGCTGGGAGGGGTTGCGTCGTCGGGATCGATTGCACGTCGCCTCGGTCGCTGGGCCGGCCTCTCTCTGCACTTTTTTTTTTCTTCCAATAAATAAGATATTTTCTGCCTCGATTCAACACCGCGTCAGATTGCGTTTTTTTTCGTTTCTTGCCTTTGTCTGCTGGTGATTTTATTCCAGTCTCGCTGTCGTTGCCGAGTTACGAGACGGATACTGTTTTTGGCGGGGGGGTGGGGGGTGGACTTGCAGCCCATAGAAGTTGGTAATGCAGAGCTACTTCTGGGATTCCCTAAGTGGCAAATGTTTCACACGCTGTAGAGGGAGTAGCACTCCATCACACGGCAGCCGGAAATAATTTTAATTCCGTTGTCTTTTCCTGTCCGTTCCATGAAAACTACCGTTAACCGAAATAACTGTGAATCAAATTTACTTTTAAGTTGAAAAAAAAACCTGAGTCTGCAAGAGAAAACGAAATGGAAAAAGAAGTCAGTCGAGGTCTAAACTCCTCAAATGGGCGTCGCTGATTGGCTGACGGCACTGCTCAGCCCCCACGTGCGAGCGCTCTGATTGGCTGAAATTGGCGCCCCGCGTGCAGAACGTAAACACGGTACCGTGACATCACAACGTTAAGTCTAAACCATGGGGTCACTATGGGAGGTGAAACGTTAACCGAAAATCCGTTAACCGGTGTCACTGTTAACCGAGAGGTGACTGTTCAGTCACTGGTGACCGGGCTGAGATCTCTGTTTAATCATCGGTGGGGGTGGGGGGGTCTGGATTACAACCCAGGGATGTCTGCGGTTCATGGGTGGCAAGGCGAGGTTTAAAACAATTAGGTTTGATAAAGTTTAAATTAAAAATAACTCAATATCCCGAAGGGTCGGTTCGGGTGAGGTTTTGAGGTTTATTATAAAAAGACACCATTTAGTTTTTTGCAGGAAGTCTGACCCTACCAGTATGTGAAGTTTTGCCCGATTTTGACGCCCTCCCTGCTGAGTTTGCCAAGCTGCACGAAGACAGTCATGCGAGCAATGAAGAGATCAACAACCTGATCAAGTTGGCAGCAAGTCGCTTTCAGTTCATGTACGGAAAGGCCCGTGGACTGGCGTGTCTGTTAGATCCTCGCGTCATTGGAGAGGCCTCGAGCCCGACTAATCGAGAAGAGCTGGACAACATCTTACTGGAGGCACCGATCGACGATGAGACGGCGGTTGATGACAAAAGTCGCTCTTTTATGCAGCTCACCGAGTACTTCATTTTGGCGAAGCAGTGGGGGAGGGTCTTGGCTCTGGGAGCTGTTTGCGTGAGCAGCTCCCCTTTTTGAAGGAAGGTCACTGGGAAAGATGCCCGAGTGACGCTTGAACAGCGCCGTCAGTGACCACCCATGACCACCGGCTTTCACGTGCAATACGTTCTACTCAAACCCCGTTAGGTGTCGATTTAAAGCTTTCGTGACTGCAGGGATTCATCTTCTTGGTTCTTTCGGTAAAGTCACGTAGAAGGGAAGTGATAAAATAATAAAAATAAGCTGGGTTGGAGGTGGAAGAGCGCCTTAACAAAAAGAATGTGCATATCAGGAGGAATTTAGCATATCTCATGAATATGCTAAATTCCTCCTGATATGCACATTTTTTTTGTTAAGGCGCTCTTCCACCTCCAACCCAGCTTATATATAAGCTCCTAGCTTGGCAGTGTCTCATTCTTCACCTGAAGACGGCTGCTTGCGTTGTAGCCGAAACGTCGTGAGAATTATTTTATTATGTTTTATTTTTATTATTTTATCACTTCCCTTCTACGTGACTTTACCGAAAGAACCAAGAAGATGAATCCCGTTAGGTGGTTAACAGCACCCTTGGTTGTGACCTCGATGTCGTAACTCAAAGGCCACGGAAGGCGTCACTCCCTGCTGCTCTGGGATGGCGGTGTGCGGTGCCACGCGGTGCGCTCCGGAGCCGTGCCCGCGTTGCGTCGACCTTGCAGGCTCCTGTCGAGCGCGCTGAATTCCTCGCCCCCTCTCCAATCCGCTTTCACGACGCGACATCTCAGGGTGGTGGGGGGCCGTGACCTCATCTAAACCGCCCCCCCCCCCCCCAGTTTATTACGCAGTCAGTCGTTCATGGCTCCGGGGAGTGACGACCCCAAACCGGACCCCCCCCCCCCCCCCCCCGGTTACCGTGACCCCATTCGAAGCGTGCATCATCGAAGGTGTAAGAATAGACTTTAATCATCGGCATAAAGCAGCGTTTCGTTGTACAATCCATTTATGAACTCTGCCCGGGCACGTGTGTGACTTCGCCTGTGGACTTCCGTCTTAAACTTCCAGTGGGGAGCGGTGGCGCAGCGGTGAGCGCCCTGCGGCCACGAACCCGGCCACCCGAGTTCGATTCCCTCTCATGGCCCACCAGCACCAGTGACGATTCTCTGAACCGGTTCTGGGCCCTCCCCTGAGTCGGCTCGGCCTCAATTAAGTACCTGGTACATTGTGTAAATATCGTCACCGGGGAGACAAAGGCGGCCGGGCGTGGTGCTGGCCACCTACCATCCTTGTGTGTCGTGCCGGCCTTCATAGGTGCTCGCTAACAGCACTTGCTCTAACAGTATGGTGAGGCTACACGGGGATCTTTGTCTTTGTTGACTCAAGTCGCCCTCCTCCCACCCGATTCAGTCCTTGTTGTTATAACCCTTGAGCTACACCAATTTAAAACAAAACAGTCTGCCTCAGCAGCAGACCATGCTTTGCCACCTGATGATAGACGCTTGTGTTGCGCCCGAAACGTCGTGATTTATTTAATTTTATACTTACGTGACTTTACCGAAAGAACCAAAGAGTATGGATTCCTGCAGTCACGAAAGCTTCAAATCAAGATTATTATTCTCTGTTAAAACTTTTAAATTTCGCAGCGAATATGTTCCCGGAGCTCTGATGCTGCTGCTGTTCGACAGCTGTGGGGTTGAACGCGCCAGCCTCGATTCTCACTGCCCCAATTCAAACGGAGTCATCGACGTCCCTCGCGTGCGATGAGCCGGGCGGCCTCGGTGATGATCGCATGGCAATAGATTACTGTGATCAGCACAAAGCAGATGTACTCACCCCCGCCAAAGGAACGTGGAATTCCCACCACTGGCTCAGCCTGTAAACGGGAGATGCAGCACTGCCTCAATGGTCGTTTGAGCAATGTTTGTATGTATGTGTAGTGACGGGCTAGAGAAGAGATGGAGTGATGTGGTACAGGAGGACGTGGAGCTGAGTGGACTTGCCGATGACTGGTACCAGCGGTGTCAAGATCGGCCTCTGTGGAGGAGGCTCGTGAAGGACGCTACTGGGAAGTTGGAGGCAGTCGCTCTCCAACAACAACGGAGGGCGGAGGAGCGACGCTCACAACAACGAGCGGAGCGCCGGGTGGCTAAAGCACAGCAAGTTGGCACAGGTGGTGCATCAGCCAGTCATCTCGGTCATCTCGGTCAGTCGACCCGTGGCACCTGGGTCTGCCCCGTGACCTCCTACCAGCGGGCGTTCGACACTTCGCGTGGCCTCAAGGTGCACATGGCCTGGCACAAGCGTCGTGGTGACGTCACCGCCACTTAGTGGCGAATGGCGGTTGTTGTTGTTGACATAGAATGGGTCACTACGGTGCGCAGCGCTGGTTACTGGTAGAGAGTGGGATCGTGGGTGTAGTAGCCCGGTCTACCAGCAGAGCAGGTGAAGTGTGCCCTGAAGCGCGTAGCGCCGGTTGCTGGCAGTGAAGGGCATTTGAGGATACAGGAGCCGGTCTGCCAGGAGGCCACGTGACAGGCACGGATGTAGGGTAATGGCGACAGAGGGGACACGTGGGGCAGAGCCCAGAACTTTCTGGTAGGTTCCATAAGGGGGCGTGGCCGAGCGCGGAGCCAGGTCACGCTGGGGAGGATGAAAGGGAGGCCCCAACGCTGGGTCGGGGCTGTCTGCGGTTTGGGAATGTAACCCGTCGTCTTCACAAGTCGTCGTCTCTGTCCTCACCTCCTCGTCGGTGTTGGGTCAGGCAGCGTGCCGGCTGTCCTGACCCGTATACAGTTATCCCCTATACTGTGGAAAGTGTAGAATAAACGTGTATGCCTCCTACTATTGGCGTCTCTGAAGTGACTCACTACATATGTTGAACTTTTGCACTGTACGTAGCCAACCGTGTTGATCAGAGGTGCAACCTTTACGGTACATGAAACACTAAACTATCTTTTAGTTGACCAGGTAAGGCCCCCTGAGCTATGTAGCTCCTTTTCAGAAGCGACCTGGCCACAAATGATAGCTATTCACGTAGAAATGTATCGCCGTAGCCAAATACACGCGTGTTGTTGATTCTAAATATGGGGGGTTGGGGCAGGCAAACCGGAGAACAATCCACGCTACCACGGGGAGAGTGGCACGCAAACTCCGAATATACGCCAGATGTTAGGGTCGGGATCGAACCCATGACCTTTTATACCAGGCGAGGGAGAATAACATTTTACCACCGTGGCGAGCCGGAACCAACCTCCCGTGGGCAACGGCTCGATGTTGCTGAAGTCTGCGTGTTGGCGTTTGCCCGTAGCACCGCAACGACAATTCCTCCCCGGTGGGTTGTTTTGTGGCTCTGTCGAGACATTCTGAACGCAAAGCGGAAGCGACTCACGACTGATGTTTAGGGCGCAATCTTCACCTGTTAAGAGCCCTCCACCACCCGACGCAGCAGCCAGCGGGCGTATTAAGGCGTCGTTCAACGGACTCGATGATAGTTACAATTCCAAGCTCCGTCGCCGGTTCGGTGGAAGTAACAATTCTTTACGACCGAATTCGACGGTGGGATATTTTTTGTTTGGCAATATATCTTACGCGGGCCCCCCAAGCCAAAACAAGTAAACCCGTAAAAACAAAGTTTTTCACTATAAATCCTTTATATGCGTGGCATCGGGGCGGCTAGAGTCCTCTCGTCCTCTGGCTTGAGATGGCTGCCACCTATGGATCAGATGATTGTCTGACAGCATTAAACAATTGGTAATGAAATATAAAAAAAAAATTCCCTAAACAGTGTAAAATTTAGGAATTTTTTTTTCACGAAAATGCATTGTCACGCACAACGAGTCTGTGTGCAAAATGTCAGCTCGATTGCATCACGGGACGTGGGTTAAAAAACGACCGAAAGATTTGCACGGTCCTAAGCAAGCAAGCGAACTTAATATAAAGGATTTAAAAAAAGAATGATGAACAATGCTGTCAAAGTTTAACACGTAGTCGGCTTTCGCGACCAATATCATCCATAATGCAGGGTTTTTTTGTTTGGGTTAGATCGCGTAAATATATGAATGTGTCGTTAAACCCCCTACCACTCGACACGACCAATTAGTAATGTTTGTCACGTAAACAAAACGTGCCAATTTGTTGCTAGTACAGCACACCGGGGTGTTGGAGAGCAAATCCACAACATTTACAATCTGAGTACGACGTTTCGCCAGTAATTACAACCGGCATCATCAGGCGGCAGTCAGATTTGGGGAGAGACCCCTAGAGGGGTAGATGTGTAAGTTAGAATGAGTGTCCATTACCGGTTGGGTTCTTTATATGGTAATAAATAAATAAAACCCTGTACGTGTCAAGCAAGCGGAGATTGTCGGAGCGGGTCAGAGTGTAATATAAACAAAGGAGCCGTGGACAAACTTAGGAATGGGAAGAAAGGCAAAGCACGCGCTGTTGAAATGCCACCTTTATAAAAAAAAAACAATGCACTTGGAAATATGGAAGCTCGTAAAAATGTGTTAAAAAAAATAACACACAGGAGGTTAGAACGAGTAAATTAAAACAAACACATCAGCGGCTTTCCCCCGTGTGTCCTTCTGGTCGTAGCGCTTGCGTTGCTCGGCGTAACTCGAAGTGCCCCCCCCCCCCACGTGCCCCCCTCCACCAATCGACAAATCACGGCTCCGACGGTCGGGCCAATCGCGCGCAGCTCAAACTGGGTTCCTCCGGCTTTAAAGAAGTCTAGAGACGTCTAGAGGCGTCCGCCGACGTTTCGCGCCAGAGCTTCACTCCAGGAACCCGGATTTAAGTTCCTGAGGTGGGCTGCTCCCCGGCACGTGGAGGGGTGGGGTGGAAGGGGGGGGGGGGAAACGTCGGACATCGTGCCGGGCACGGCAGACGCGTCGGAGAGCCGTTGCAGTGCACACTGCAAAAAAATAAAAAAAAACCCTACAACGGTGAAAGTTAAACGAAATATAAGTCTAGAGTTATGAACTTAAGTCTCTGCAGTTTTGTTTTAAGATAAATCTTACCTTTTGATGTAAATAAAATCATGACCGACTACATTAACGCCAGAACTAATTAGAGCAAGAATAACAACATCGTCATCAGAATGCACTTGGTAAAAAAAAAAAGTTACGCGTACATTTGATCTTTAGCGAAGTGGCCCAGCAGAGTCCCTTGTCAGGGAAAGACTTTCGTGTTGAAGATGTTCACGTGAAAAACACGGACACGGTCCAGCTGAACGTGATCGAGAGGTGACGACTCCCCCCACCCCACCACCACCATCTCACCAGCGTCCAAAACGACGTCTTCATCTTCTTCGCCGCCGTGGAAAAATTTGTACGCGCGCACAAAAAAAAGGCAATCGGACGCGATCGGAGCAACGTTCATGCTCAGAGGGGATGACTACAAAATAATAAACGGGGTTTGTTGAATGTTCGGAAGCCGCGCCAACATTAACGCAACGGTCTCGGACCGTACAGCGCACGCGGTAAGGGTAAGGTTAGCGTCTAAATTACTCGACGATTTTTTTAATTATCGTAACGACTCACAGCGAGCGGGTGTGGGGGGGGGGGGTGCTGGGCTCCCCCCTCCCACGTGACACGACGCGGAAGAGGGGGGGGGGGGGTTAATTGCGGATGACGATCACCCAACACGGGAACCGATTGGCCACAGCGGGGAGCATTAAATTTCACTCCACGCGTCACGTCGCCGCGGTCGGAAGCATTGTGACGTCACGGCCGCCATTTACAGCGTTAGTGCCTTCGTTGGGGCCGCGGGTTCCGTATCGCCATCCTCGTTAGAGTTTGCGTGTTCGCTTGAGCACAGACAAGAATTGAGGACAAAAAAAATGTACGAAAGTTACAATCCGGATTGGTCCGTTGTTTGCATCCCCTTATTGGACGCTACGAGTAGCGGTGACATTTTTGGACTTTTAATAAATCCCAGCAAGGAACGTGGGCCTTGTGGCGCGAGGCCCGAACACGCGTGCTTTTTGCCCATGCTTTGTTTAATTTCTGGCCATGCTTTATCCGAGAACATGCCGAGGAGCGCCAATGCTCCTCCGCTGTCAGTGCGAGTGCTGTTAACGAAGGCTGGAATGGCACACGAGGGGGGGGGGGGGGTGGCCAGCACCACGCCCGGCCGCCTTTGTCTCCCTTAGTGACGATGTTTACACACCACACCAGGTCCTCATTCGAGGCCGAGTCGACCTAGCGGAGGGCCCCAGGACCGGTTCAAATAATCGTCACTGGTGTTGGTAGCCGTGAGCGAGAATCGAATCCGGGCCGCCGGGTTCGTAGCGTGGCGGCGCGCCAACCTGCTACGGCCCCGTGACGTGATTGTGGCATTGTGACGTCATCACGTCAGTGAACCGGAGAGACGATGCCGCACCACTCCACGCCCGCAGGACTTTCCCACTCGTCCCGGCGTTGGCTACGGTTTGCGTTGGGGTCTCTACGTGGACGGGCCCCCGTCAGGATCCGCTGCCTGCGGGGAGGCCACGGGACTAGTGGACGGGGAGGGCGGGGGGGGGAGGCAGGGTTTGCCGCGGATAACAAAATGAAGGATTGCCAGTCAAGAGAGGTGGAATGTGTAGTTTGGTCGAGGAAGCAAGGCAGACTAACTGACCACGTGTCCCTCCGGCACTCATATTTGACCACAGGACGAGTTCTGCTGCTGCTGCTGCTGCTTAGTGGATAACGAGAAGGCACTAGACACTTGGGGAGGAATTTTGTTTGAGCACGGATCAGAAGTATGGAAGCGCGCCGCAACCCCCCCACCCCCCCAGCCCCCCCCCCCCACGCTGCCTGTAGGCACATTTCATTTGGCTCCGACGTTTAGGCCGCAACATCCCCGGCGAATCGCAGCGATCTCGACCCGGCAGTTCGACTCTGGCCCCGACTTCCGGTCACCCGACGACGCTCCCCAAACCCCGCGGAGCGAAGCGCCCGGAGCGTCGTATGCCGAAGGACGACGGCTGCGGTGGACGAACGCCGGGGGGGACGAGCGTGAACACGGCGCTTGCCGCCGACGCCGCCTAAGGGGCCGTCCATAAATGACGTCACGCAATTTTGGACGATTTTTTACCTCCCCCCCCTTCGTCACAAAAAGTCAGACCCCCCCTCAAATATGACGTCACAAAGCTCTGCCCCCACCCCCCACCAAAACCATAAAACATGCTTCTAATCGCTTTAAACTATTGTCATTGTAGTGCGTATTTATGTGACGCTGCACTCTGATGTTGTAGGAGTGTTGTTATAACAATTCCATATTTTTTTAAAGTTGCGCATTTTGACATGACGTCTCATTTCTCCACCCCCCCCCTCGTCACACATCGTCAAAAATGTCTGACCCCCCCCCACCTCCCTAGGTCCGTGACGTCATTTATGGATAGCCCCTAACGTGAGCCGGGATCCGCCGAGTGCCGCGCCGACCTGGTCCCCTCGCGCGAGACTCGGGGGCTCGGGGGCTCCACTCTATTGAGAAAGTTTGTTGGTTCAAGCGCCCGGGCGGCCCCATCCTGGTTAATACCGCGATGCGGCGACTAACCGTGGATCCCCGCGCCCACGTCACAGTGGAACGTTGGAGATCGCGTGACGTCGAGCCGAGGCGAGAGTTAAGGCGCGCGCGCTTCGGGTGTCGCGGCCCAAATGATCCCGTATTGCTCGCGAATTACTTTTATCTGAACAACGAACAGCAATGCCAATCCCCTACTGGCGAGATAAATGGGCACTTTGTTCGTGTCACCTTGTGCCGCAATAGAAGCCAGCGAAACAACAAGATTAAACACAGCTGGGCATTCATTCCAATGATTGAGTTGTGTGATGTGATGGCAAGCGCTGAGATGCTGCTTTAGGCATTCAAGTGTTGCATTTTTCCACCTTCCTGATAGCGATGGCTCACCATTACGTGGTCTGTAAAAACAAAGTGTTTAGTTACGGCAACAAACCAAACGGTGCTCTTATGATTAGGAATTATATCTCCATGCCAAATTTTTCTTTTGTTTAACCGAGGAAAGCCTCGCAGAGCCTCAAGGGTCCTGCCAAGTTTTCAGCAGCAGGTGGGCGGGAAGGCGGAGTGGGGGGCTGGAGGGGGGAGTTTTGTCGTGTGCGATTCCCCCAATCGAGGAATTATTTCCGCGCTGAAATGCTGCTTTGGCCAATGCCGGCGGGAAACCTATGCAGAACAGGGGTGGGGGTGGGGAAATAGAACATATGTCTGCCGGAGTCGGTAATCGAACGCAGGGGGGCTCTTCTTGCGAGCGTTACCCACTGCGCAAAGCCTGCCACCCCAAAACTAGAGCTACAGCAAATCGCTCTTACCTCTCTGTTCCTTAAGATACCGGTAACCAAGCTGTGAGGAGCCATCCTCTCCCGGTTGCAGACGTCATCAACTCATCTCAACAGCTTTTGAAAGCAGGCATGGCCACCACTCGCCTCGCGATCCATTCGCTCTCACGGCGGCTCCAAATCAGGCGCTTGAGTGCACAATAATGCTGTTTAAGATCTCTCGCAAAGTCTGGCGGGCCACGATTGTGGTAATGATTACAAATGTCGTATGGAAAGACGGATGGCAAGTTTAAGTAAACACGGGAGTCGTAGTGAGATTGTAACTCTCGTAAGAGTTGTTGCTAGGAATGACATCATCCCTGCCACGATATCAGCCAATCACCTGCCAGGAAGACAACCCCCATGCAACATGGCCGCCATGTAGACTCCAATGCAACATGGCCCCCATGTAGACTCACATGCAACATGGCCGCCATGTAGACTCCAATGCAACATGGCCGCCATGACATCATCCATCCGTACGTTTAGGCCAGTCTGTGGCTGAGGTAAGCATGTTGACGTTCTTAACGATGATGTTAGTGTTGCGATCGACTGCCATTATTACATGTCATTAGCTGCGCTCAGTTACTGTCGGTTACGTTCAACATGCGAGTTGTCCTGACGATGACGACCCATACGATTTATCGTAAGTTTAGGAATACAGCCAGGTATCGTAATTCTTATTTCGCTCATCGGCGAAATTAGAGTTACAGTTTTCATACATTCGAGCGAGCGTACAAAGCGGAATGCGCGGAAAGCATTTGTACGCATTGCGAGTGTACGTACACCACCGTGCTGCTAAAATGAAACATTGCTCGCGGTACATCAATAGGCAAGTGTGGATCAATGCATCCGACGTGTATAGGTCAATCTTCAAGCTCATGCTGCCTTAGTCAAGTGACAATACACAAATGTGTCTTAAGTGTAACTAATTGATCTAGAGCAGTGGTTCTCAACCTCTTTGGCAACTGAATTTTGTTTACACCGAGTTCATAGCCCCTCCCTCCGACCCCTTGTCCGACCCAACGTGGTTATCTGAGAAATATAAATGTATGAAGAACGAACATCAACATTTTTTTAAATCAATTGTTCATTTAGTGAGCTATCCTAACTCGCTAAGTAAACTTGCAAGCGAAGAAATTTTTTTTCTTCCAACGGATGCGCTTGCACGCTTGACGCGATTTCTTCGCGCTTGTCGGTCACTTTTGGTCAACCACATCGTTTACGATCAATGAGTTTGCAAAGGTCTCGCATGTCGTTCCGAGGTTATTAAAATGTTATCGTCGTTATTTTATATTGGCATTTTCATACGTGATTATTCACCAACGACTCTCACGTACGGTGCCATTTCGCACATTTATAAATTAGCATCCCCGCCCTAGGACATTGCCACGTGGGGTACTCCTCCTCCCAACTTGCCCCCGGTTGAGAACCACTCCTCTAGATGACTTAAGTCGGGGATGGAGGTGGTGTGACAAGGGCAGAACTTGGTAAAAGTGGCTGGCGGTGGCGGTTCGGATCCGACAGGCCCATCCCAGCTCATTACTGATGGGCAAAAGGAATCGCGACGGAGCAAACGTTTTTTCTCTCTCCCAAATTTGGAAAAATGCCACCAACGGAGTGGCGGGTGAGGAGGGGGGGGGGGGCGGCTTGCACGCACGTTGGACCATCGCCGATAAACCCACAGACTAAATCGTTGTAACAAAAAATGTAAACGACTGTTAAACGTAGGCTCGGTGTGCGAGCTCGGACGAGCCCTTCAACCAGTGGCTCAATGGCCGCGATTCAAACCCTGGGACGCGCGGCGTTTTTGCGTTTTTAGTTTTCGCGAGAGGTCAGCCGCCCTTCCCATCACACGCACGTGACGGGAGGGGTGGGGTCTGTTCCCCAGAGGCACTTTCCTAGTATTGCATCCTACTGCGGCGCGCTCACAGCGAACAATGATAAGGTGCACGTTACGGTTACATGTCAGCACGTGTTACGGAAATTAAAGAAAAACGGATAAAAAATAAAAACGAGCGACAGGCGCATCCCAGTTCATCGCTGCGGGCGAAACGAACCGCGACGATCCCAACTTTTTTTCTCTCCAAAATTTGGGAAAATGCCACCGGTAAAATCCACGGTCGCCCGTCGCGCGGCTTGGAGGAACGCGCGTGGTCGGACTCGGTGCTCCCGGACTCGGCACGACAGGGCTCGGCACGCGGTCAAACTCGGCACACGAGCGACATCGTGCAGGGCCCATCGCGACCGCCACCGGGGCAGGCGCAGTCGTACGCTAAAGCCGCCGGCGGACGTTTCGGGGGGCGGCGCGAGTTGACCGGTGACGTGGTTTGGTGACGTTGGGCGCCCTCGTGGTGGGTGGAGAGGGGAGCGTGATGAGCGTCGAGTGTCCGAGCCTCGAGCGATGCCGAGAGACGAGCCCCAACCAACAAGGCTGCACCGCTACGGTCGTTGGTGCACATCGTTGCCCGTTATTATTTTCTTACGGTTCGCTTTCATCATCCGTTTCTTCTTTTTCTTCAAAGTAGAAACTCCCTCCCCCACTGCAAGGACAGCATGAGTACAGTACAGCGGCATGGACGATCGCGAGTCCCGGAGGCGGAGAGACAGATGGCCGTGTCTTCCAGCGGCCTCCGAGATGATTTGGCGGTGGCGGCGGCCAAACTTCTCCGGAGAGCCTCGCCAAACTGCGGTGGACCAACTGTGCTCAGACCTCGCCACCGACAGCCCTGGAAGATTTCCCGTTGGTTTTGCGGACGCGTCCGTTTACAGTTAGAAGCTTATAAAAAGGGTAAGGACGCCGCCCGTATATCGGCCGCGTCGTTCCCGATGGAACGTCCGGAGCGTCGACTGGCGTGTCGGCGGTCGCCGCCGCACGCCCGCGTGGAAGACGGTGGTAGCAGCCGAGACGCTGGAAGCGTTGGGAAACCGAAGGAATAAAAATGTGAAAGTCTCAGAATTTCTGCCCTCGTTTTTTGTTGTTGTTGATAAGGGAGGGAGGGAAAACGGCCCGCTCATGTCCAGAGGTCAGTGGGCATCATTCCCTCCTTCGTGTTGAAGGCCGGGAGAAGGTTCTCCTCCTGCAGGAAGCCGAGGGGCATGGTGACGAGGAAGCCCTGCACCTTCTGCAGCTCCTCCCGGGCCTGCACCGGGTTGGTCTGCATGAGCGGGTTCTGACCCCAGTTCTCCAGGTCCTTCAGGCTCAGCACGAAGTCCGACGGCAGGCACATGAACACCTTGCACGGGGAAGACGGTGGGGGGGGGGGGGGCGGCGGGGGGAGGGGAGGGTTGAGAGAGGAGGGGGGGCGATGGCGTTACAGCGTTTACTTCGATCCATCTCATCCTCTCCCTCAATGCGGGGGCCTCCCCCACACTCCGGTCCACGCGACGCCCCACCGCCACGCTCCGTCTTTCCACGTTTGCAGATTTACTCGCTCCATTGGAATACAAAACAATCCCCTTCCACGCCGCGACGTGCCCGATTACTGTTGAACGCGTCCCACTTGACACACGCAAAACACGGAAAACACACGCACGCGTACAGGTGTATATGCGCGCACGGAACAGGTGTGCACATGTACAATTGGCTGCACGTGGGACGCATTTCACGGTAACCGGGCGTGCGTGGCGTTGAACCAGTGAATTTGAACGGGGAGGGGTACACATCCGTGGGTCCTACTCCGCGGGCCCTCCACTGCAGGCTCTCTTCCGCAGGCCCTCCGCTCACCTTCTCGTAGACGGTGGCGTTGATGGCGGCGGTGCTCATCCAAACCTCCTTGTAGAAGTGGTCGCTGATGGGGTCCGAGATGTCCACGTGGGGACTGTCCAAGAGGCCCAGCACCAACCTGCGGAGAGGGTCGCCCGTTTACAGAATAAGAATCTTTATTCATCCCGGAGAAATCCGATGAGCCATGAAGCTCTTTGCCAACGATGGCACCCCGTCCTCCCCCACCGTGGAGGCTTCGTAGGTCGCGTGACGCGGACGGTATCAACGATAGATCGCGCGAAGTAAAACAAGTGTGTCGTGCACCCTCCTCCACCCGACGTGGCCGATCACTAGAGTTGTCACGTGACGAACAGACGCGACCACTTTATTCCCGCTTTGGCGGCAGCAGCAGCAGCAGCAGCATCGGCGCGATGATCGAGAGGAGCGATCCGCACACCGTTAGTGATTTGGAGCGCGCGCGTTTCGCTGGCAGTTACAACGGGCAGCATCAGGCAGTTGCCAGAATTGTGAAAATGTCCTCCACACTTTGACCCTAAATAGGTGGCGTGATGTCATCGTTGTGGCCTGATGACATCACTGTGGCGTGATGTCATCAGTGTGCACCCACAAGGAGTGGAAGTGATACCTAGAGTTGAATATATTAACATAAATTATGTTAGTTTCTCGTACATTATTTGAGATATGTCAAAATAAGAGGTATTAAAAAAATTACAAACCAGAAACGTGCTCCCAATCAATATAAAAATGTGACAGATATGAAATTTCGGACGATTCAGAGTTTTTTAACGTGACCCCTACAGCCACTAGTGGCCGCTACACGAACCCAAATAAATAAATAAACAACAATAGTTCCTGCGCACCACGACAACTCATCGAATCGCCGGGGAAGACAAATCGTTGCCAATTCAAGTTCAAGTTCATTCAAGTTCATTTATTAGGTATAGCCCTGTGAGCCATTCGGCTCTTGAATTACTACCCCACCCTCCCTTAAGGAGACAAGGAGCCGACCCGGTCACAGTGGCCGTTCGTTCGTAACGCCACACCGGCCCAATGCGCGTGCTCGCAATCGCCGTTCGTTTTTAATATTCAATGGGCACCGCCGACACTACCACGTGGCGCGCTGCGACACCAACGCAGCACGACGCTACGCGCGTCGTGCTGCGAGCGACAGCGCGAGCGAGCGTGCGATGTCGACGACTACGTGGGGACAGGGGATGGGGCTGGCGGCCACCGTCACGCGCGCGCCGCTACGACGCTTGGCATTGGCTCCGTTCTCACAGAGTGCTGCCACCTTGACAAGGGGGCCGTGCGTGCCGTCCCCGCAGTCGCTTCACGGTCGGGGGGGGGGGGGGGTGATGCAGCGTCGCCCCTTACCGGAAGCAGCAGTTGCGCAGGTTGTAGGCAAAGCGGCCGGCTTGGTAGGGCTGCCCGTCCATGACCGACTCCTGGAATTCCGTGTCCTCCACCATCACTGCCATCTCACTGTCGCGCTTGCCCAGCATGCTGCGATCGTTGATGTTTGCCGACCCTTCAGGAGAGAACTTTTTAACGCGTGTGCACACGCGAGCACACGTGTGCACATGCGAGCACACGTGTACATTCGTACACGCGCGCAGAATACGTGTACACGCGTGAATACGTGTACACGCGTAAACACGCACGCACGGAACACGTGTACACGCGTACACACATACAGAATAGGTGTGCGTGCCCACATATCTACACTGAGATCTCAATCTTAATTGGAATCGGCTGCACTAACGCAGACAGCACGTGGGACGCGTTTAACAGTCATCGGTCGAACGAGGCAATTCTTATTTGAATGGGGGGGGGGGGGGGGGGGGTGTGGTGGTAGTGGTGGTGGTTAGTTGATGGTAGTGGTAGTGGAGGTTGTGGGTCATCAAAGCAAGGACCAGACCCCCCCACCACAGATCTTTTAACAGTTGTTCGTGAGGACCACTTGTGACCGAGTGAATGCATGGATGAGCAGATGAATGCTTGAACGACGGATGGATTTATTAATTGATAAATCTATTAATTAAATAAGCAATGATTTAATTAATTGATAGGCAGATTAAATAAACGATGAATGGATGAATTAACTAAATGTTGAATAGATGGATGGGTGTGATGATTGGAATAAAAGAGAGTGGATGAATTTACTAATAGGTTAATTAATTATTTTATGAACTGATTGATGAA